CCTACCCCCAAGAATGGAGCTAAAGACAGTTGGTAATTGGTGCAAAGTTTTGGAAGGGAGTAGTAATTTTTAGGATATTTTCTTTCCTTTGCTTTTTTATTTTAGGATTTTTTTTTTCTTTCTTACTCTTTTTTCGAGACTTTATTAAAAAGATTTAGAAATTGCTTTTTGTGGGATATTTTCAAAGTTTGGAAAGTTTAACGGAAAGTTTCGAATTTGATTTTCACATATTATTTAATAACTGCCCGATAAATTTATACTCTTCTTCAGCTGAGCCAATTTATTATTAGAGAAACTTTCATTTTCTTTTACATCATAAAACATCATTTTGATATAGTTAATAAAAATTTACACGAATATATTTGGGTTCTACTTAACAAACTTCTAAGAAATAAATAACATAACGCTCAATAAAACCATTAAAACCCATGTTTATAAACCATAAAACGCTCGCAATTTTAAAAGAGTTCTTTTATTTTCAGTTTTGGATTATGTTTTTCAAGGATTTTTTTTTTAAATGGTATTCTTTAAATTCTTAAAAATATTATTTAGTTTTTAAGTTATTTTAGTTGTGCTTAATCAAACATATTTCATAAAGCATAATGGAAATTTTAAAACTGCAGTATTAAACCGTTGCAAATCATTATTTCACAGCTAACTTAATCTTTCATGTCAGCACACTGAAGCAACTGGGAGCAATGCAAAGGAATTCTTGTTATTCAAGGTTTTAAAAAAATTACATGCATTATTAAGAGTTATTTTTAGTTGTGCTTAATCGAACGTGTTTCATAATACATTAAAGAAATTTTTTAATTGAAGTAATAAACCGTGGCAAGTCATTAGGACGTAGCTGGCTTAATTTTTCTTACCAGCTATCACACGCACCTTAAGCAACTAGGAACAATGTAAAAAATTCTTGTTTTTCAAGGCTTTTTTTTAAAAACTGCATACATTATTAATTGTTATTTTTACTTGTGCTTAATAGAACGTGTTTCATAACACATCAAAGAAATTTTTTAATTTTTTAAGTTTAAACCGGTGCAGATCATTATGTCACAGCTATCTTAATTTTACTGAAGTAAATAGGAACAATGTAAAGAAAAGCAAAGAAATTTCTTCACATTTTTTTACTGGTTGAAATATATTTAAACCTCGTATACATACAACATAATTAATACACTTAAAACCCCGTCAAGAAGGCACTTAGTGTCTATCATTTTCTTAAACCAATCTTAAAGCGTGAATCTCATCTAATCCTTATAGACCAAGGACGTTTCTACTTGCAATCCATCAGGCCAGTACTTACACTTGCCTCACCATCATTGAGAATTGATTGTTTTTTAAAAGAAAATTGATTTCTAAATTTTATGATTTCAAGTTACTGTAAAATATGAGGTGTAATGTCTCTCCGAATATGATGCTGACCTACCCCAAAAATTGTGTGACGTCAGACTTTATTTCTGGTTAACACTAAATTGAAGTTTTATATACAATTTAAAGGGTGTAATTTTAATCTAAATACTTAGAATGCACGGAGAAAAAAATTCTGGTGAAATTACCCTACTGTATGATAATGACATTTCTAATTAAAAAATACAATTATTGTTATTAAATTAAAAATATACGGTATTTAAACCATTCATTTGGTAATTTTTCCGTTCATATGTCTTCTGTTATCATATAACTGTTCTCAGGAAATTATGATTTTTCACAATTAGAGTTCTTTGTAATATTTAGTAAAACAATACAAAACTGATTGATTTTGTAAATTTAAGTAATTTCAATGATGAATAACTGTTTCTCTTCTCCAAATAATTGCAAATTTGAAATAGCATTGTTCAAAAGTAAGCCGTGTTTAAAATATTTTACCTTTAACGCAGAAAAAGATACCGGCGTTTCATGTTGTGCTTCATAACCGTAAATTATTAAAATGCTAAACATATTTTCCACTTATTTTGTCCTAAATTAATACAAAATGATGAAAAAATGAGTTTAATAAAAATTCTGCTTCAAAAGGTTGAAATAAAAAGTAAGGAAAATTGATTATCAGTTTACGAAAAAAAATTCTGTATCACCTAATAGTTTTCAAATTTATTACTGCATAGGAGATTACAGAAAGCATTGAAGTAAAGTGTTATTGAAGGGATTAAAAAAATTATTGGTCCCAAGGATTAAAAAAGCTGGAAATAAATTTATATTATGCATAATTTTAATATGTCTTAAATATTTAATAATCAATAGGAGCTTTAATTTCAAATTACGAAATAATCTTATTCAACAACACAAGTTTAATACATTCACCAAATTTTTACTTTTGCTTTGCAGGGAATTTTTTTTTAAATTAACACGGCGACGATACTGTTTAATTTTCTTACTAAAAATATTACTTAAAAAAAAATTTTTTTTTCTTTTTTAAAAAATTAAAGTTTAGAGATTGGTTAATACCATTTGCAGAAAATAATTCTCTTCTATTTTTTTATTATTTTGTAGTTTGATAACATTTACTGTTAGTTAAAGGAAAGAAATATACAAAAATTGAGAGAATTAAACACGAATTGCGCTTATTTAAGAAATATGAAACGGAGAATGAAAAGAAAAGCAATTAAATAAAAAGACAACAAAACGAAATGAAGAAAATTAAAATCAATTATTTTATCTAAAATTCATTAAAACAAAACCATTTTTTTATACCATTTTTTTTTTCATTAAAAATAAAGTATTTGCCAAAACAAAATTCCAGTTCTTACTTTTTGCTCACTTTTATTTATTTATTTTTTAAATTTCATTTACATTTAGCGAGATTAATAGGCATACACTTTCAATCAAAGAATGATATTGTAATTATTGTGTTAAACTAGATAATTGTACTAAAATATAACTTTGAAATTTATCGTAGTTTAACTTTGAAGCAGCATTCTTCACAATAATTGTCATTCTTCGAAAGCTGTAAAAATTCTCATATATCTTATCAGTTTTCTGATGCTGAGAAAAAGCAGTTGTTTAATCTCTGTTGGAAAAAGTATATATATAGATTTTTGGTTTGTGATTTTTCTTTTCAGACAAAATGGTATGTATTAGTTTTTCATCATTTTTTTTTTGAATATTTGCACTTATATTTAAATTTATTCAATGCTTATTTTGCTGGAATCAATAGTTCCTTAATTTTTACTGCTTTAGAGATAAATTACACTGGAGAACAATTTTTTTCTGTTGCATGAAATTTTTTATCAGATCGTAAATACTTGCGTATCGCTGAATTCAAATCCACAATTGGTTTCTCTCTGAAAGCTACAGGCTTTTTCAAATGACATTTTTGGTCTGTTATATGTCAAAATGTACAAGTTTAAAAACGTTATATATAACAGGGCTTCCATACATGTTGCGACAAACTTCTAGGGGAGTTAAGGCACATCATCAGGATTAAAACTGCATAGGATTCCATGCCTGGAAATGTCGTCATACGTCAATAGAGGCGCTTCCATAGTATAAACTATTTCTTTGTGTGCTTTTGATCAGTTCATAATAGGGAAGCTCCCCTATTCGCGTACGACGACGTTTCGGACATAGATTTCTATACAGTTTTGATTCTTATAATGTCCTCTAACTCACCTAGAAGTTTGGCGCAACATATGCTCGACCCCCTGCAATAAATAATGCTTTTAACTTGTACATTTTAACAAAAAAAAAATGGATTAAAAATTACCTTAAAAAAAATCTGCTGCTTTATGAGCAAAAATAATTTGAAATCCTCTCGTCCGAATTAGGCAAAATCAAGCATTTGTGCAAATACAGCAAAAGATACAGCAAAAGATCTTGAGTTATCATTTTTAAACAATTTATAAATAATTATAATGCAGTCTTTTATTCTTGTAGAAAGAAATATTATCGAAAATTTAAATCATACGCCACAATATTTACTTAACTTTCTTCATATGATATCTTTTAAAGAATTATAAATGATTTAATTAAATATGGGGTTAAATATAACTAAGTATACATAACATAATGAAAAAGTGTCATTTATTTGTCAAAGAAAGAGTTAACGCGAGTCAATGTTTTTTATAATGGCAAGTAACTGACACGTTTCGAAATTAAGTGGTATAAATATAATAAACTTAATTTTCGCATTAAATACCAGCAATAACCATTTAAAATAACTTTCCTTGTATTTAAAATTACTTTTAAATAACTGAAGTCTTTATCATCTCAAATCAAATTTATACAAATTTTAACACAGATTAAACAGAATTATAAGATTTTTTAAAATATATATATGAAAAAAAGAATTTCATTCTGTGTTTCTTTTTAACCAGATATGATCAAATGCTTTCTTTTTTCAAGTTTATAAACATGATTGAAATTCTTTGGCTTTATAATAGTAATTATGAAATTGCAATTTTGAGAGTGGGGTTAGCAATGAACTGATTACCACCGAATATTAATAGTAAACAACTATTTTAATTCATACACTCCCCAAAAAACCCTAAAACTAAATACATCTGAGTTTTTAATTCAGAAATTTTAATGTAAACCAATATTTTAAAGGGCGTAAATGAAAATTAGAAAATTAACATCCTCATTAAAATTTTAAAAAATATATTTACGTTAACTACATATGAAATTCAATATTTGGCTGCAATTTAGAAACCTTTATTCATATTAAATTACGTATGTGATAAATTCAAAGTTCATTTATTATTCTATTTAAATATTTTTAGTCGTTATTGCTCTATAATCACTTGGAGTTCAAGTTTAATAATATATCCTTGCATTTTTTTTAAATATTTTATCAGCAATTTTATTAGCAATATACTATATTCTTCATTCAAATTCAATACTCTGAATTTCTGAGCAAAAATAGTCTTTATAATATATCCTTGCAATAATTAAATAAAAATTACTATTTTACCATAAATAAAAATACCTGTGTATTTTTCCTTAAAATTAAATACCCTATAAACTCGAACAGTACAAAATAAATTTTTAATTATTTACTATTAAAACAACCCGTTTATTTACAGGTAAAACTGATGGAGCACGTTTTCAAGGCTTGGCTAATTTTCCTGATCGCCAGTTTGGCGCTTGCTGATGAACAATCAGATCCCTGCCCAAAACTAAGCTCCTCTTCACCATGTAGATGCAAGACTCAATACGACTCGTATGGAGAAGGTACTGAAGTACAGTGCTCTAACATAAATAGCAAAGACACCTTGTACGAAGAACTTCAGAAATTCCGTGGTTACCCAATTGATAACCTGAAATTAAACAATCTTCGGGTGCCATTTTTACCTGCCGGTTTATCTATAGGTTTGTCAGTCAAGAGTCTTTCTATAGTAAATGGTTTCGTAGGTAACCTATATTCACCTAAAGATGCAACTCCATCTCCATTAGAAGGTCTTGAAGATTCATTAAGAGAAGTTCATATTATAAACACAATGGATGTAAACAAATGGTTGTGGCCAGATGTAAAGAAATTTAAGAAACTGAGGAAAATATCAGTAACAAATTCTCCTTTTGATTTTGTTGGCCATACTTTTGCTGAAATCGGAGAAGGATCTCTGGAAAGCATCTCAGTTAGGAATAGCAGAGTGTATAGAATCCATCCTCAAGCTTTCCCAGAACTTACAAATTTATTTCATGCAGATTTTGAAGGCAATAATCTTCCATACCTGGTACGAACCATGTTCCCTAATCCAGCTCCTAAGTTAGAGATCTTGAATTTTAGGTAAATTGAAACATTTTCTTTATTGATTGATATTAACTTAAGCATAGATATGTTTAATTAACATTCGAATGAAGTCTGTAAGAAAAAAATATTTTATTTACTACAAGAAGAATCTTGTAAAAAATTTGAAACAAAATAACGCTTGCAGTTATTTATAAAACATTTTATAATTTTTCTTCAGATTTTTATAATTTTCTTCGAGAAATTATGTAAATATGAGACTTATAAATTTAGTTCCATTTTTTTTACTTTCAAAAAAATTGAAAAAATTTTTTCTAATTTAAAAATTTTTTTGTATAAAAAAAGAAGCATAACTTATAATTGATTCATGAACTGATGTAAATAATATTTTTCTTAAATTTTCGCAAACCTAATTTCCTAATTTCAACTTTCTGTTTTATGGGGAGAAAATAATCATAATCATAAGAATCGAAAAGGAATCAGATAAGTGAAACAGTAGGAGAAAAAAACATTTAATTTACTGCACAAAGATTCTTATAAAAATTTGACAGAAGTAGCGCTTGCTAGTTACAATTAACTTTATAAAACATTTTTTTCCAGTTTTTTATATGACTATTCCCAATAATGAGGTAAATGCAAAATGAATAAAATTAGATCCACTTTCTTTGCTTTTTAAAAAATTAAAGTATATTTTTTCTTAATTTCAATTTTTTTTAATTTTTATTTTTTTTTTTTAATTTTTAAATATGTTTAATTTTTTAATTCTTTTAATTTTAAAATTAATAACAATTATGTCTAAATTTAAAAAAAAACAAAGCATAAATTATATTATGAACTGATATAAATAATGCACTTTTTAAATTTTTAAACCATCCCCTAACATCAACTTTCAGTTTTATAGTTTTGAAAATAATCATTATTATAAGGATCGAGAAGACATCAGATTCGTGCAAAAGTTTTCATGCGTTTAGATATTGTTGAGTTAAAATTTGAATCTAATCTAATATAGAATTTATCTCCTAAAAAGCTTACAAAAAATATTTCTTTTGATTCAATTATTACATAAGTTTCATTTGTCATGAAACTTATCACGATACAAAAAATTAGATAATTATTATCGTATAAAATCTCTGTAAAAACAGTTCATTAGTGTATTAGTATTTTTTTTTTATTTAAAACGCATTTTAAACAAACAAATTAACGAATTATAATTTTTAAAAAAAAACTATTTTTATTTTTTATTAAATATCACATCAATAAAACAATCTTTCTAACACTGTACAAATTATCTAAAAAGTACCGGCATACTGTAATATTTATTTATACCGCAAAACTTTACGGAAGAAAAGAATCTGACAAATCGTAATTTTTATACAAATATTTATTGCAAAATCACTGAATCTCTGCAATTAAATAAATATTACTGTAAAAATTACGGTAAAGTGAATTTTACGGATGATGTACTCAGGGTGTTAATACTTTTTTCTGTAATTTGATTCCGAATTTTTTACTGTGTACTGTCTACATAATTTCTAAGTTTTATAACATATCATTTTTAGGCACAATCGTCTGTTCACTTTGAATGAGAATATGTTTGAAAACATGCCTGCCCTCAAATTCCTAGATTTCTCCAGAAACGATTTCAAAAAGTTCGAAAGTGTTCCCTTCTCGCCTTTATGGAATCAGCTAGAGTTTTTATTTTTGAGTGGTAAGTCTTCTTTGTTCTTTTTCCATGTTTCTTTGTTTTTTATACCGTGTTTCCTGCTGTGCCTTTCACACTTTAACTCTCAATCCACCGAAATATATTATTTAAATGGATTAGATTTAATGTAAAGTAAGCAATAAAATATTCCGCTTTCGAATAACTTTTGATCTCATGATCTGATATGTTAAATTCGAAAATCAATGTTTTTTTTTTTAAAGGTTTATCTATATTTTAGGTTTTCTAAAAAGCCAATTTCAGTGGCATAAAGAAAACCCTTCTTCCCAAGTTACACACACACGACGTATTAAGATACCATTCACAAAGTGCCATAAATATGTCATAATTATGCATCTTACTCCTGCAACACGCGACGACGCTACTATTCATTTAAAACATCTTAAAATCATTTATTTGTTGAGAATATGCCTTTATTTAATGGCATTAAAAATTCAAAACTTGTATTTTTTATTTTATATTCAAGGTTTTATCCCGTTTCCGCTTATTTTCAATACATTGAGGAAGTGGAGTCATATGAGTCATAACTCAAATAATATTAATTATAAACTACTTATTTATCAGATTTAATAATAAGTTATTATTATTAAATCTGATAAATAATTCACTAAATGCTTTTTGTTTTAAGCACTACTTCTTCTACTTATTTTCTTCTCTTTTTATCTTTTACTCACTAGTTCTACGGATACATAACATAACTTTAGAAACTAACTAATTCATGTAAACTTGATTCTACAATGAAACTCTATGTTTACACATAAACTAAACTCAGTGGCGCGACAGCCCATAGAGGGCCAAGGCCTACTGTGTCCATCTCAGTTTTCTTGACATTGGGCTCTGGGGTGCAGAAGCATATGTTCCGGTTAGGTGGTAACGCGAAATCCCCAGTGTTTAGTTCCCAAGCATGCTTGGTACTCATTTATCGACCCACTGAAGGGATGAAAGGCTGAGTCAACCTTGCACGGCCCCAGGATTGAACCCAGGACCTGTGGCACGAGAGCGCGAAGTGGTATAACTCAGCCACCGGGCGGGGATGTTTACATATATAATAGTTTAATCTATATGCAATAATTTTTGAAAACACGGATACGTTAAAGACAAAAAAAAGATAAAGTAAACAATTATAAAATAGCACTTTGGGTAAAAATGTTTACAAATTGTGCAATTCAAAATTCCGAATTTGGTGAATAAAGTTATGAAAGGTATAAATTTTCGATGGAAGTAAAATTTATCTTTAAAACGCACACAGCATTTTAACCTGTGACCAAAAACTTTACTTAAATAAAGAAATTACGGCATAAAAATTAACAATCAAACTTAAAATTTTTTATGAAAACAGTGTTCAAAGTTTAACCTGTAAAAATGGCCTAATTACTCCTAAATATGTCTTTACTATTAAAACTTCATCCCTCTACCTGACCCTTCAGTGGATTAATTCTGTTGTAAAGAAAAAATACATTTCGAAAATGTACAAGTAATTTCTAACGATATTTGTGCTATTCACCTTATTTTAATGCTACAATTTACATAGTTTTATGATATACTTCATACAGAACTATAATATTTCATATTGATTTATAAGCTTGAATCATAAATAATAATGCATAAAATCCCTTTCAGAAAACCCCTTCAATTGTGATTGCAGTCTTGCACCGTTGAAAAACAGATTAACATCAAACAATCTTCCCAAATCAAATGATTTCAAAAGCATCACATGTATGAACCATGGAGCTCTCAGAAAGACGAAACTCGCAGAATTAGACACCTCTTCTCTTCAGTGTTACTAATTTGAATAAAAAAATTCTTTTCTACTCTTATACATATTTAAATTTTTTTTTTAGTTTATGAACTGCATATATACATTATTTTGCAATATAATAACATCAATTTTTATTTATAATGAAGCTTTAAAATTGTAAGTAATACACTAAATTTAGTTTCATATTTAAAACTTAATTTTTTTGAAATTAATTATCATACACTGTTAGAAATTTCTCGGAAAAAAAATGCTTAATAACAACTTATTCAATTGTTGTTTTACCATATTCAAACAAAATAGTCAAATAACCATAAATAAGACGGTATTCAAACTGTTAACCGTGAGAAAAATCGTTTATTAGCTGCTTTTACCTAATAGGGTTAAACAACCAGAATTTTATCGTGCCACCTATAAACCCCACTTAGTTCCTTGCAGCTGGGTACACATTATAGCCAAGAGGACTATCTGTCAATCTCATAGCCGACAGAACGCGTTGTGCCCCAGCGTGGATATTACAATATTTTCACCAATCTCTGCAACACATGAAGAGTTTTCAGTATCCTTCACTTCCCTATTTGTGACCCTGGACAATTAGAATAGAACAATGTTATTCACGCATAGACGGGAGCTCCATAAAGCTGCTTAACACAAAAAAGTCTAGTATTTCCCATCTCTTACAAGCGATGTAACAAACAGATAGACTAATTAACGCACATTCCACAGTCTTTTTTGACAAAGTCCAACTCAAACACAACCTAACTCCAATGTCCATTACATAACGAAAAGCCTAGTTTCAATTACCTATTAAACTTCTTATATACGGTTTTGAAACCATGCTAGTTGTAAATGGTTAAAAAACGCATAGTTTTGTATTCGTGGTTTTTAAACATATTGGTTGAAAACGGAATCAAAACCGTAAAAGAAGAAAAATGTGCTTTTAAGCAAAACTTTAAGGTTAATTGGATAGACAGATTGCTGCCGGTTATTTTACAGTAATTTTGGAGTAAATTGGAATGAAAATTCTAACAATGTACAGAAAATTGAGCCTTTATGTTAGTATATTTGAAGAGCTGAGTGTATGAGGATTCTTAATAACATTTCAGCGAATTGAGTAAATTCGTTTTAAAATTAATCAGCTCACAGTAAGGTAAAAAATAATGTTTTGTCTTTATTTTTTATTCACAAGTTTTCAGTTTGTAAAATCAATAAATCCCTTACAATCATTATTTTGGCATCATTATGTTCGTTGTCTTCATATTTCAATTTGTTGCCAAAACTAAAGCTTTTTAAGGTTAAATATCTACTGTTAGTTGTTAAATGCACTTGGAAGTTTCCTCCACTCCGAAGCACACAAATATTTTCATCTAGTACTTTCTTCCACTGAGATCTTCGAAATTAAAGAAAGAAAAAAAAACAGGACAATAAAAAAATTTTATGTAGTTAAATAAGAGTAAAATAGAATCGTTCCTCGATAAATCTGAACTTTTCCAAAAATGTCGTTTAGATGTCACTAAGCTCTTTTAAACTTTTTTTTAACTTAGACAACTTGATTGACTTAAGTCAAATATACATTTTTTTTAATACAGACATTTTTTTTGGTACAGACTCTTTAAAAAAACTCTATATTAAAGAAAGTTATAAATTAGAGAGAATTTTTCCAAATAACAACAAAACTAACTCGAATTAAAACATTCTTTATTAAAATTCAGTAAAAATAGGTCATCTCACTAAAACAGTAGGTCACAGTTCATTGGTCATAATTCATTTTAACATTCCATAACATTCTAACAGACAGGTATCTCACTTATATCTACAGGTATCACACTAATTATATCATGCTATAATTATTTCAAAACATAAATCTTCAGTGGAATGTTTAGTGTTCTTTAAATTATATTTAAAAATTTTAAAAAATAAATATTAATTCTCCATTACAAATATCACAATTTAAGAAGCAAAATACATGTTCACAATAAACGTAATTGCATGTTTATACACGGAAAATGTTTTAAATAATTATACACAAAAATTGCAAATAAATACCTTGAAAATATCCTTTACTTTATATAAAAAAAAAAACTTAACAAAGTATTACTGTATTACATATACAAATTAGATGGTAATAAATATAATTCAAAATAATAACATCAAAATTATATTATGCTTATAATTTATGCTTTTAAATGGAATAGAAGTATGTTTATGCGAAATATATACTAATTTTAATTTTATATAATCAAAATTTTTTAAATATTCTTCAAAAAGTAGAAAAGAAATGTTAGTATTTAAGTAATAGATAATCAGGCTCAAAACAATAACAGCATGTCTTCAATATGTTTTTGAATTTTCTGGAGAATTAAATTTTAAAAGTAGTTATAAAAGCATCAACAAGAATCTTTTCAAATAGCAAGAAATACTTTTAAAACAAACCTGTTTTAAATTTTATTGAAAATAACTTACAATAAATTGTATTGTTGAATAATTGTATGCTAAATGCTTAGTTTCGAATATTTACAAATAATCAAACTATAAATCAGCATTGCAATTTAAAGCACAAAATTAATAGATTTTTGCCTCGTATTTTTTTTTCTTTAATTTTCTTAATCAATAACTTAAGCTCTCGAAAAAAACATTACTACGTAAAAACAAAAATGAACTAAGAAATTAAAATTTCCTAAAAATAAATTGCAGATAAATCAAAAAAATAATTGAAAGATATTTGAATGCAATATACTTTTAATATATTACTATATTTCGATTATTATATATTTCTAATGTAATACAATTAACCATCAAAAAAATCTTTTTTTTTTTCAAACAAAACATTTATTTTAAGAAAGAATTCATAAATATTTACTTCATTAAAATAATATTTAAAATAATTCAATTTTATTAAAATAAGATGTTTGAAAAATAAAATTTTAATGGTAAAAATTTTGCCAGTAAGGAAAAGGTCTTCATTATCATTTTTGCAACAAATTTTATCTCACAATACTTCTTAGAATTAATATTTGGTCATTACAATGAACACTTTATCATTTAGAGGAAGATTTTGTCATTAATGAGAATATTTTTTCATTACCGTACATTTCTGATATAATTTTTTTTCTTTCAATATTTCCAAAACAATAATTAAGAATATACAAAAGTAATACGTTCTTCAATCAGAAAAATCAAATTCTATTGTAAATTTGCGTTAATGTGTTACACATTTTAACAGTACGTTATTAAATAACCTCATTAAATCTATAACACACCCAAATAAATTTTATTAAAAAAAAATCCATATAACAATAATTTAATTTCGTAATCCTGTTACTTAAAAAATAATAATTTACTAACTAAACATTGAAAACAGTCATAAATATAGCAAAAACTTTCGTTCGATTTAAATTTACTTCAATGTAACAATTAAATTTTTTACCATTCTAAACAAATTAATCAAATATTCAGTAATCACAATTTTGGAAATTTTGACGTCAACTTTTATAGCAAAAACAACTAATTAACATAGTATATAGCTTTTTTAAAAATTTACACTACTCTTCTTTTCAATAAACAGTTTTCTAGCATTCTCATAATTAAGTCAATGAAGAATTAAAGGGATGAATATATAACAAAGCCAATGATCTAGAAACAGCAATGAAAATCAATATGATCAATAAAAAAATCAATAATAATGAATCGTCAATAATAAATATCATTCATGAGTTTTTGGCGAAATATTTAGCAATGTACAAAAACATCTTCTTATGAAAAGTATCACAATATGAAAGCCAAATGCTATGAACCATATCCACATTTTCAGGATGAAGAAATGAAGTAGTCATTTTGGCAAGTTTCAACAATTTTCATTGCAACAAATCTCTACAGATCATTCAACAATTTTACAGTATCTTTAGTACTAAATCCTGAGTAGTACTTTAGTACTAAATCCTAAGTAGTACTTTAGTACTAAATCCTAAGTAGTACTTTAGTACTAAATCCTCCTCAAGTACTAAATCCTAAGACATTTCTTCCTCCCGAAGTACGAGAATTCCTCACAGCGTCAACTTGTGGAAGAGCACGGAAAGCAAAAGCACACTGTACTTTACACACGTGATCATTTAGTACAGATTCTTTGGAATAGGTACTAGCAAGATGAATGCAATTATTGATCCTTAAAGATTGGCAGATGGGCTGCAAAGAAATGAATTATAATTAGTACTAATGAAATGAAACAAGCATTTCCACTGAACAATTACAAGCATTTATTAATATGCATTCACAGAAATTTATATCTTTGTTGGCACAAGTATATTTAAGTGATAAAAGTCTAAGCCATATTTCAAAGAGTTTTGAATAACCTTTTACTTTCAATGTAAAGGTCCACTGAGTGTATTTACGTCTAAATAGTTAGTGTAGAAATAGTAATGGTAAAAGCAATGGTCAGTGCTGTTGTACGCTCATATCACAAAAAGTAGTACCGCATGTAAATAGATGCATTTTTCTCAAAATTTCAGAGGATATTTAATTTTGACCCCAAAACCCTGAGAATTTTTTTTTGCAAAAATAAAAAAACACTTGTCTAATAGTTTTACATTAAAAACATATACTTTTAAATAAAATTCAAAATTTCAAGCCTTCAACCCTTTCTGATTCTTAACTGCAAACGTGGTATACATACTATTAAATCTTTAGTTAAATTGATTTGATATTAAAGATTTCATAATGTATATGAGCATGAAAAACATGGTTTTCAGAAAACTTAATTGAATGTTTTCTCATTTTATCCATTCACACATTAATGTTAAAAGTACTGTTAAACTTCATTGAAAGTTTGCTTATTTTACCTATATATGCATTGACTTAAAAAGTACCGTATCGTTTTAAAATGCACGAGATTTTACCAAAACTTTTTGCACAATATTGAGAAATATGCATTCCATTGAATCATGTAAAACTAGAAAATGCATTTTTTTAAAAGTTTTACTGTGGTGTTCTGCTATTGGTTTTAACGGTTGCTTAAGTTTTAAATTAGCTGTGCAATTGAACTTTTTATTAGCAAAATAATATTTACGCACCCCTTCTTTCGTGCATGTGCACATGACACATGGTGATATTCTATCTGCTGATCCAACATCTATAGTCACTTTTCCTACAGTACATGAAACTCTTTCTTTCCATTGCTCTAAATCAATAGATGTCAAGCTACTACAAGAAACTCGGGGATTCCTAAAATAAAATAATGTGAATAATGTGATTAAGACACAATGAAAATGTTTCAAATCTCTTTGAAAAATTAATCACTGAAATGATTAGGAACTTTGAAAAATGGAAATCTTTCTTATACAGAGTAAACAACGCCCTTAATAAATTTGCACGAACCCTCGATTTTATATTAATTTAAAGTAAGCTATACATTTCCCCAATTTTTATATTTTGTACCACAATTTTTACAGTGTAGTATACAGAATGCTTAAAACTCATGTGAGTTTTAAATGCAGAAAAAAATTTCAGCAAAATATCTTATCATTTAATAATTTCAATTCAATAATTATTAAAGTTATTTATTTCATTGAGTAATGTAATGCTTAGTTTATTATGAAAGGATATGCTTTATCCTTTTGTTTAAAAGTGCAATAAGTTAGTTATGCGCATTTTTTTTGCACATCATTTCATTAAAATATTAGTTGCATTTATTATTTCCCTTATAGAGGAATAAAATATGTATCTATAAAATATAATTTAAACAAATAATAAATAATGCAGATAAAAAAACGAGATTAGTAAAAAATTGAATTTTACTCTTATATTTAATTAAAAAGTACTAGGCTGTAAGTATACAATTAAAAAGGAAAAAAACATCATACATAAAAGGATCAGGCAAATCAAAAGCTTGTCGTTGAATACTCTCAATTGTATCGGCGTTATCACATAGAATTTTTGATAATGAAACTTTTCTGATTTCAGTCAATTGTGCTGAAAATAAATGAAATAAATTTTAACAACAAAACTAACTTTACAAATAAAAAAACTTATTTTAATAATATAACTCTATGAAACTCTGCTAGAATTTTAAATCCGGAACTATAGACTTATCTTATTGTTAATCCCTATTCAGGATGTCACATATATATTGATTTAAACTTTATTAGGAGGTATGGTACATCATAAAGGTTTGGAATTGCATAGCAATTCATGGTCAGAAAAGTCATCGCACGCAGCTAGAGGCTCTTCTCTATTACTAACTTTCTGTTGAGCAAAAATAGATCAAAATAGTTCCGAAAAAAATGTAGTCGAATTTGGAAACTACATATACTCATTATTGAGTATGTGACATGCTCAAAACAGCATAAAGTTATTTTTAAGACTATGCTCTTTCTCGTTTAAACTTTGACGCTAATAGGACACCGATGTCCTTTTTATATATTTTTTTTCTGACGCTCTAATTGCAAGTATAAATATACTTTAGTATTTTTGAATTATAAAAATAATCTAATAATTAATAAAAAAAGTCTGTTAGGTTATCGGAATTATATTTGTACTCAGACATAAATTCCAAAAAAAGCAATTTCAATTTTTTTTTCATTCATGTTCACAAATATATCAATAACTAATTTTGTAAGTCAAAAAAATTTCAACGATAAATAACCGTTTCTTTAAGAACTAAACAACTGCAAATAAGTGGAAATTGGAAAAATTATTGTTTGAAAGTGTATCGTAAACGCAAAAAAAAAAAAATTAATACCGGTGTTTCATACAATATTTCACATCCATAAATTATTAAAATGCTGAATATAATACTTTTTCACTTATTATAATCTAAATTAATAAAAATATGCTTATTAAAATAAAAATTATGGTTAATACAAATTCTGCGTCGAATGGTTAAACAAGAAATTACAAATGAGTACATAATATGTGATTTTTGTAACTATGTATTTTTCTCAAAAATAAGTATATGTTGTTTTGAGCATGTCACTATACTTAATGACTACATGGTTTTTTTTAATTTGACTATGTTTGTTTCAGAGTTATTATGACATATATTTGCTCAGTTTTTAAAAACCATTTTTACAATGTATATTCATTTATGTAAATTATCTTAATTTTATGTTTTCTAACAATTATTACTGAAAATCGCTTTTAAATAAGTTCAGAAACACCAGTTTTATCGCAATTAAGTTATTTTGACGACTAACTTGAAAGTTAAGCGTAGCACTAATTCTTGAAATTACGATCAAACAGTAGTTTCTGAGCTTACTTGAATATGAATCTCGGCAATATTTATTAGTGAGAGATAACTTAGCAAGATATATGTACCAATTCAAAAGCTCACAAATAGAAAGTTAATATTAGGGAAGCACCTCTAGCGGCGCACTGTGATACTTTCGGTTACGGGTTCCTATGCAATTCTCGATCTTTATGATGTGCCCTACTTCCCCATAAAGTTTTAACTCATATTTAGGGGACTTTCTTTACCAAATAATAATAAAAATAACAATGAAATGGTTTAACAATCAAACAAGTGCGAAAATTGGAAGATCGGATTTATATGCATAAGATAATTGCTTTATATCGAGTAAAATATATTATTGAACGAAAAATTTTCTACCTTCTGTAAATCTTATCAATGGATTAGATGTTTCGTACCAGAATCTATCACATTTTTTTAGCAATGAAAATTGTTTAGCTATAATACATCCAAATGTTGGTCCGACTAATCCCCCATGAAGTGCTTTTTCCGCCAAGCCGCCAGAGAAAAGATCAATATCATCAACATTGCTGCAAATAAAATAAAGTTTTTCACTATACAGCATATTTATACAATCGAGTAAATGCATATTTAATTATTAATTTAATGGATCAAATCTGAAATAAAAAGTGAATCAATAAATCGTAATTAAGAACTAGATATATGTTTTCAGAATTGTTCAAATATTTATCCATGCATTGTGCCCCAGGATTATTGGAACAAACTTTAAGTGGTGGTAGTGAACATTACAAGGATTCAGAATTGTACAGCAACCCTTTGTCGAAAACGTCATGGGAAAGTAGTATGAGAAGTACAAGAAAGAGAGATACACAAGTCTGAGATCATCTCAAATATTTATTGGTCAAAGATATCATATGTGCTGCCGTAGATAATACGTGAAAATGTCACAAACGATGTTTAAAATCCCCAAACATTGACAGCGAAGCATGCGTTACACAGACTGGCCATGGATTGGCGGACTCGCCCAAATACACCTGAATTTTGTTACAATACCCGCAGCAGTACAGACGAATCTTAGAACCAGATTCATTTCGGAATCACCAGGTATTACGCACACAGCATTTTTAAGTGCACTCCGAAGAAAGAAACCCATGCTGCTTAAATCAGGAGAGCGTGGTGGCCAGAGAACTGGACCACCACGCCCATTCCATCCTGAGAACAACAACACCTAGCGGCGAAAGAAGACGTTTCCGGCTATGAGTTGCTATGCAAACCTGAATTCTCGTGATGTCCCCTTCCTTTCCCTAAAGTTTGTCCCAATAATCTTGGGACAGCCTGATTTTATGCTTTTTTTTAACAATTAAAGCTAAAAAATACTTACTCATAAACATTTCTTAATCTATCAACGATATGAGCAGGTATTTCTTTAGTCAAATCATCAAAGGATTTAGCTTTAGTAAGATTACAAAATTGGCGATATTCGTTGTATCCTGGTACCCCGTGGTCTCTGGCTCGCTGAACATTCAGAGCAGCAAGATCCATTCCAGAAAACGGTTTATCTTTAAGCTCAAAAAGATGATTGGTAACTTCTTCCGTAATAGAATGATCTAAAGTTTCCATACTACTAGTAACAAGACCCCTCAGAATATGATCAATAGCATTTTCTAAAAAGACGGAGAAATTGCATTCAAAAAATGACTGAATATTTTTTAATAATAGTTACTAATTTGACTATATTAATTTTAAATTTAATTAATGATAACGCATAATTTTTGAAACTTTGAAGCATAATTTTTATTAAACATATTCTCAAACTATTTTTATTACTTAATTTAGGTTAAAATAAATGAAAATATATTATATTTAGCATGTTAATAAGTTATGGATATGAAATATCAGCTCCTTTTCTGCATTTAAGGTACTTTTTCGATCAATTTTTCAAATTTGCAGCTATTTTCACTTATTTAGACTCTATTCATCACTGAACCTATTATTCATCACTGGAATTTCTTTAAATAAAAAAATGAATGAAAAAAAAATTCAAACTGCTTTTTTTTAATTTTATATTCTAGTGGAAGTATAATTCCAAAAAAATAACATATTTTTTTAGCAACTATTAGACTGCTTTAAATAATTAAAAAATACCGAAATCCATTTTTGCTTGTAATTAGAGCATCAAAATATATATTTATACGCAAAAGGTACACCGGTGTGCAATCTGCGTGAAAGGGTTAGTGGTAGAATTCAGTTTGTTTTTTTCTTTCCTAAATTGAAAGAATCGGGTCTTATATTGCTAAGCCATGTTTTTTAATTAGTTAAGAAGAGCATTTTTTTGTGAAATACACCATGAAAATTTAAAAAAAATTTGCGTATAAGCTGTCTAGTAGAAATGCGAGAAACATGCAAAGTTCAAGGAAGTTTATTGTTTTGTTTCTCAAAATCCAGGCATATTGTTCATTATAATTTAATATACAAAATAAGGAGCTGGTCATAATTCTTAAAAATTACAGATTATTTGTTAAAGCTATGAGATTCAAAGCAGCTGAAATCAACTTTTGTATACTTTACTTATTTGAATATTTTATTCGTTATAATACTTAGTAGTAGTAAATTTAAATATAAAAAGTACATAAACTTAATTGCAATGAAGTAAAACTAATGATTAATGCAAATTATTAATGCATAGAATATAAATTGTTTTAAAACTTGATATCATACAGAAGCTAAACAACACTATTTTTGTTTCCAACTGCTTAATTTAAAATTGAATTTAAGAAATCTGGCACAAATTTAGGCACAAATTTCTGGCACAAATTTAGAATTGAATTTAAGAAATCTGGCACAAAAATAGGAAATTTTAGTTAGACAAAAAACTTTAAAGTTTTTGAGATTTTATGATTTTTGACTAATTAATCTAATTTTCAACTTGACCTAATAGTAAATAGCATGCCTTTCTTTATAAATTTATTAAACAATATAGTAGTAAAAATTTCGGTACTTACTTAATGAGTGTGTAATAAATTATTGTTATACTACAATATTATTTTTAATTTATTTGAAAAATTTTGAATTTAACTTACGAGTATATAGCATATCTGAATTGAAAAAACTTTTTCTTAAATGTAGTGGTTCACTCAGAACTCTATATCCTCTATCTAATCTATCAAAGACTGGTTTTAAAAGGCTGTGTCCAAATCTAAATGCANTATATATATATACGCACAAAAGGTACACCGGTGTCCAATCTGCGTGAAAGGGTTAGTGGTAGAATTCAGGTTTTTTTCTTCCTAAATTGAAATAATCGGGTCTTATATTGCTAAGCCATGTTTTTAATTAGTTAAGAAGAGCATTTTTTGGTGAAAAACACCATGAAAATAAAAAAAGTTTCGCGCATAAGCTGTCTAGTAGAAATGCGAGAAACATGCAAAGTTCAAGGAAGCTTATTGTTTTGTTTCTCAAAAATTCAGGCATTTTGTTTATTATAATTTAATATGCAAAATAAAGAACTGATCATAATTCTTAAAAATTATGGATTATTTGTTAAAGCTATGAGATTCAAAGCAGCTGAAATCAATTTTTGTATACTGTACTTATTTAAATGTTTTATTCGTTATAATACTTGGTAGTATAATTTAAATATAAAAAGTACATAAACTTAATTGCAATGAAGTAAAACTAATAATTAATGCAAATTATTAATGCAAAGAATATAAATTTTACTTTACAACTTGCTTTAAAACTTGATATCATACAGAAGCTAAACAAAACTATTTTTGTTTCCAACTGCTTAGTTTAAAATTTTAATTTAAGAAATCTGGCACTGAAATGTGAAATTTTTATTAAACAAAAAACTTCAAAGTTTTTGAGATTTTATGATTTTTGACTAATTAATCTAATTTTTAATTTGACCTAATAGTAAATAGCATGTCTTTCTTCATAAATTTATTAAACAATATGGTAGTAAAAATTTCGGTACTTACTTAATGAGTGTATAATAAATTATTGTTATACTACAATATTTTTTTTATTTATTTGAAGAATTTTGAATTGAACTTACGAGTATATAGCATATCTGAATTGAAGAAACTTTTTCTTAAATGTAGTGGTTCACTCAGCACTCTATATCCTCTATCTAATCTATCAAAGACTGGTTTTAAAAGGCTGTGTCCAAATCTAAATGCAGCAGCAGCAAATTCGTTGAAGATTGTAGGATTGCATTTAGAATCATATCCCTCGAAGTATCCCTCTACCTGTGGATGCAAATCGTATTTATTTGAAAAACTTTTTCCCAAAATTCTCTGCGTGAATTCATTGTAGGTAATGTGCTGCATAACAGCTGATAGAATTCTTCGACCTGTAATGATTTTTAAAAATTAAGGCTGGTTTTATAAATTTTAAAATAGTTTAATTTGCATGAAATCATTAAAATAAAAATAATAGTTCATGCTGGATGTCAAAAAAATAATTGGGAATTTGAAACAATTAAAATGAAAACAGGAAGAGATAAAAATGCATAGAAATAAAAAATAATTGCACTCTGCTCAGAAAACCATTTTTTCCTAACCAAATTTCATAATTAGTTACTCAGCTTTTCAAAATATGGCACTCGTAACTGTGAAAAACCATACAATACTTTTTGTCCAAATAATCACCAATAGCAGCATCAGTTGGCGCAGTCTGAGGATAAAGTTAACAGAAGCCTGTGCAAAGCTTTCATTTAGAATATTCTGATATGAAGCATGAAACATTGCTTTGTAGTTTATTCCAGACACGGACTCCATCAGTTGGCGATTTTTGTAACTTATTTTGAAACTTAGTAAGAATAAAGTCCTGGTTTTCTAAGCAAAGTACAGCAAACTACACGGTTCCATTTCTTTCGATGTTTATTTAACTTATTTTTCGAATCTTCAGTCTGGTTAAAAGAACATAAGTTAATTCTTTATAGTAAAATAGATTTCAAAAGAAGAAAAGTTATGCGTGCATTTGCTAAGAATAATAAACGTTGTATTGTTTTTAACATGCTGAAATAACATTTCATCTCTCCAATGAGGATTCATTCTTTTTCCGAGTTTTTTAAATTGATTTTTCAAATCTTCGGTTTGGTTCAAAGAACATAAATTAATTCACAGTAGCAAAATAAATTTCATAAAAATATAAATTAAGATTGCATTTGCAATAAATAATAAGTGTTGTATAGGTTTTGCTATGGTTATATTACAATGCATTGCTCCAATGAAGACTGACTCTCTTTCCGCGTTTTTTAAATTGATTTTTTAAACCGTCAGTCTATTCAATGATTCACTGAGGTAAAACAAATTTCAAAAAAATAAAAAAAGTTTTAAAAAAATATTAAGATTGCATTTGAAAAGAATAATAAACATTGTATTGTTTTTACCATGCTTATATACCATTTTATCGCTCCTAAAAAGATTGATTCCATTTCCGCGTTTTTTAAATTTATTTTTCAAATCTTCGTTCTAATTTGTAGAACATGACCTAATTCACTGTGATAAAAAATAAATTTAAAAGAAAAAGAAAAATTTCCGATTGGATTTGAGATGAAGAATAAACGTTGTATTGTTTTTACCATGCTGATATAACATTTCATAGCTCCAATAAGGACTGATTCTGTTTCCACGTTTTTTAAATTAATTTTTTCAAATCATCGGTCTAATTAAGAAAACATAACCTAATTCACTGTGGTAGAATAAATAGAAACAAAATAAAAATTAAGATTGCATTTGAGAATAATAATAAACGAAGTATTATTCTTACCATGCTGATATATCATTTCATCGCTCCAATGAGGATTGATTCTTTGCAGTTGCGTTACAATTCTATTATGCTCACGCATAAAAATTGTATGCATTGCTGCCAATGCAGGTTGCTCACTTGCTCTTGAATCTCCTGAAATTAAATTATAGAGAAATATTTAAAACATGTACACATTATTTTTTAAACGTTTTATAAAGTTGGTTCAAAGGCTGAAAAGACAATTTTGTAATAATACATCATAACAAAATGCAATAAAGTAACAAAAATTTAGGTGACTAATATCAAAATTTGTACTAACCAGCTTCAAAGCAATGACCAGAAGGTGCAACACAATCTTTATGGTTACTGGTTTGAGGTAAGAGATCTTTAGCTCCCTGAGGATGCCTGGTAACATTAAGTTTGCCTCCAATAAATGTTCGCAGCATTCGAGCTTCACAACGATCTGATCCGTATACTCCAGATGCATCTACAAAAGCTGTTACTTGGTTCATCTGTTCACGGCGGCCTAAATTCAAGCAAAAAATGTTCAGACATTTTGACTAGTAAAAATAATTGAAAACAGGGATCATGGAATCGGGGGGTCAGAGGGGGCTTTAGGCCCCTCACATAAATGAAGGGACACTGCAACTTCTAAGATTATAATTTTTCACTCAATATTTGTGTAATTAAATTTACAATTAAAAAACGTAGATAATATTTTTGTGTCTGAGTTCTAAGAAAATGTCTCAATTTAAAACGTGCTTTAACATTTCCTTGGTGAAAACTTGAATCATCCCTTACGCATCCCCTCTCAGAAGAAATATACGGCGCAATTGCTGACCGATGGGGAAAATTCTTGCTTTCATATGACAGAGCGAACAAAATAATAAAAAAATCTGATTAAATGAGAGATAAATAATTTATAGGTAAACAATTTCTTTTATTAATTTTATTTTAATTTTAGGATATTTCGTATTATGAAGTTAAAATTCGAATGAATTCTTGATTGCCATTTTGTGAGATTCAGATAATTTGGACCCAGTTACTACTACTATATAAATATATATANTATATATATATATATTTAGCCTAATAGATAAATAGATAAATACACAAAGGGCAAAAAGGAAAAAATAGAGAAAATTAAGAAAAACAATAAGTTTTATTAACAGCTCATAAGCTGCAAGTAAATAGCCTCATAAAATATGTTCAAAATGTAGAGAAAACATGGAAAAATTACAAAACAATGAAAAAAAGGGAAAAATAAAAATAATAATAAAATAATTTTGAAAAAATCCGGGAAAAAATCGGATAAAAGGAAAAAAAATTATAAAAATTTGGAAAAGGAAAGATATAATCTTTTCATCAACTCACACGATTATATCCACGAAAAGGAGTGCTTTCTAATATTGTATCAATATAGCCAAAGCAAAATACAATAGTGTGAGGAGCACTTAAAAAAAATTTTAAAAAAATTTACAACAAATAAAATAGAACACATTAAATAGAACTTTTTAGGGTTTTGAATTCATTAAAATTCATTATTATTTCTCACGCTTTATTTTACTCCAACACATTTGAGAAAAATAGTCTTGGCGATAGATTAAATCAATGAATAGCCAATACATGGATTTCTTAACTTTCCTTGGCGAAAACTATGTTAACGTGCACATGACTTGCATTTTAGTTTTTTGGATAAACGGGCTTGCAGTGTGGGGCTTAGCCCTACAGCCCCACTCTCCGGGCTATTTTCTTTATTTATTTTATTATTAATTTTGAAAAATGAGCATTCCTCCTTACTTTGGAGCTCTTTATATATCTGAAATAAAACATGTTTATTGTTAATCATAATTTGATTCTTCATTTAATTAGTTTATCATGTTTAATATATAATTGCTGGACTGTACCACTCTGGAATAAGATACGAACAACTGGAAATATGTCATTCAACATCATCAAATAATTTCCATACTTACTTGATAATGTTTCTAATTAAGACTTCCTCATCGAGAATTAAATTCACCGTTAAAAGGAAGGCAAATGTATTTTCCAGTTGATTGTAATTAATTTATTATTATTATTATTGCATGTTATGTTACCAATTAAATAATTCTGTAAACTTTTGCATTTAACCCTAAACGCCTCGAGGACTGATCAACAGCCATTAATTTCTAAACATTTCAGAAAAAATGTATGCGTGACCAAATATTTATTTCTATAATAGCATAACATTAGTATTTCTGAAAGCATAAATCTGTTACATTAGTAAATGATTGAAGTTTTTTTGGTAGAAAAATAGAACTTTTATTGGCTGCAAGTTTACGTAGCATCTAAGCATTAAATGATGTTTCAAAAGTGAGAAAAGTATGAAAATTAATGCAGTTTAGAATGAACTGTATAATAAACTGTTTGACAAACTGTATAATAAATGAAGAATTAGAACTGCATAATAAATGAAGATCAAAAAAGAAGAACGGTTTATGTCTATTTTTCATAAGAATAACAATTGGATCACTATGTGTTGAATTTTGAGGATTACTAAATTTCGAAAAATAACTAAGTGAAATATCGGTTCTCCCCTGGAGTTATTACACAGGGCCGGACTATGGAAAAATAGTTTTTGTCCGCGAGCTTCCATCGTTTTTTCTCAGAATCAGCTTTCACGGACATAAACCGCTTTTCCCCATTCATCTTCAAATGTTTAGACTGCATTAAATATTAAATTAACTAATAATTTAGAATTTAATTAAAAGTTTCGAGATTGATACTTATATACATTAATAAAATTACTCAAAATGTCTCATATAAATAATTTACCTAATGTCAGCTGCCCTGCCAATGATCGCACAAAAGAAATACAAGATGGTCGCCCAGTAGTTTTGTTAATTGGTGGATAAAATGGATCATTAGGCGGTATTGTAATAGGTAGGCACTCAGGATGAATATTCTTTGCTGATTCACAATCAGCACAATTTAAGGGAAGACCACTTGCTGAAAGAAGGAAAAAAGATAATCATATATTCTATCAGGAAACCTAATAAAATGAAACTTCACATTTCTTTGGAATTTTATTAAAAAAGAACATTTATAAACTATTAAAAATCCATTTAGGTAATTCATTGCTTTCCTACTTAATTGAAAAATGCAATATCTAACATCAATGTTTCGATAAAATGCACTATTGTATTTTATTCACTACATTACATAAATATCAAGAACTGTATAAAAAATTCCTACCAGTATTCATGGGTGTAAATGTCATATCATGGTCCACAAACTGTCCCCATTGCATAACCATCAAAGAATACCGTACATGTGGTGCTCGAACATCGTAGTGCACTTGCGTGGATATTGCACGTCCACTTGGCAGCAATTTTCCAGAACGGCCTGTTAGTCTAGGAGAACTCATGTCTAAAAATTGAAATAAAATTAAAAGCAGTTGGATGAACTGTTTTATTTACTCAAAAAGCTACAAAAAATAATCGAAACATTTTCAACACAGTTAAAAAATGTTTTAATGTTTAGATAGGCTTAACAGGATTAAGCCTAAACATTAAGTCAGCGAAAATGATTGAAATAAAGCTTAAAATAAAATTCAGCAATTTAATTATTTTCGCATTAATAGTACCTTTTCGGAATTGTTCTGTTTTCTTCATCGGAAAACCAAACTTTTATACTCAAAACACTCATTATAACCAAAAGTATGCTCAAACTGTTAAAATATTATAAATAAATTGGAGTACTAATATAAAATGCTGAGTCATTAAAATTTCTACAATTATGTGACTTAACAATTTGTATAAATACGGTCATGACAACAACTACACTTCTTGCATAAGTGTTAAGTGCATTCTGAAATTCGGTTTTTGAATTTTTGAACGCAAATAATGCTCGGCTACTTGAAATTTTTTATCAGTTGAGGAGATAGTAATAAGTGGAAAAGTGGGTTTGACAATTCAATGATATACGTGCTAATGTTTATGGCCAAACACAGACTGGAAAGGCTTTTGCTGTTAATGATGGCTTGACTGCAAAAGTGAATGAGAAAAGTTGTGAAAATAAGAATGCTTGTGAACTGTTCTTAAAATAAGAACAATTCACAATAAGAATGCTTTGTGACGAGTTTCAACAGCTTTCAGACTCTGTATTGCATGCAATCACCACAAATCTATGACGACTCAAATTTCATGTATAAATACATTTTGTTTTTAAAAAACATGGTTTATGTGAGTTTTTCCAAAAGGTCAACTTATTTTCTGGACAGGACTCGCAATTTTCTTACTTTTGATGCAAGAATGAATTTGTTAATTTTAGTTTCTTTCAGTTTAAACTAATGATTTGTGGAGGAAACACTTAAAAACTTCCCTTTTGGATTGTTTCTCAAAGTTCATGTGTTTTGGGTTATGCTTTCGTTTACCCGTTACTAAATAAAGCTCTAAATAAATAAAAGACATATGATTCAAAGATGCAAAGCATAACACCATCTTCACTCACCATCTCCATATACTGGTGGAAGCAGTCGTGAAAATATTCTCATACTCTTCCCTAATTCTGGATTGTTGAGATTATTGCACCATCCTGTTATCGTTCTAAATTTAGTGGTGTGATCACAAGGAAGAGTTTGATCATCACAATCAAATACTTTGGGAATATCTAACATATCTGTTACATCCACATTTGGTAAAGCAGACATTAGTTCTTGGACGGAATTCAGAGAATATCCAAACTCTGCATCTCTTTGATCACTATGAAAAATATAAATTAAATAAATATTCTACAACATAATAAAAGCTTATAAATGTAATCATTTTTTAACAAATACTTGGGGGCTCCTTGTCCGCTTGCAGCCACCAACCCTTGGAACTTTTCTTATTCTTTTTCCCCACTTTTATATCTAAATTTTATTTGTACTTTGTTTCAAATATGTTTCAATTCTATCCCCCTGTTTGCTATCGCCAGCCAATTCCCAGAACTGCTTGCAAAATTCGTTACAAAATACTTCGTGATGTAAATTAGCATCACTCGCTCACATTTCGCCTCAAGTCTTATTCAAGACCATAGCTTTTATAGTTTAATTCCTTCCGTATTTAATTTTAAATCTATGATAGCGGTTACATCCCCGGTTCACTATAACTTGAAAGCTTTTGGAACTGAGTTATTTTCAAATCGTTTCCCAATGTTTTATTTTTTTTTCCAATAGCTTTGGTTTTATGGAGTGACAATTGTACTTGAAAACTCTATGAAACTATCATTTTCGATTTTACTTTTTAACATGCCTAAAATCATCGTGTTAAGGAGATTTTAAGCGATTCCTCTTATGAAAAGATTTTAATGATTTTACTATACGTTGCGTAATGCTGCATTTAATAAATTCGAGCAATTACGTTTTCCACAATTACGCTTCAAAATCGCAAGTAAGCGAACACTCGAATGTGAGTTCAGTTTTAAAAATTTTGTTTAGAATATAAATTATAAATTTTATATTTAAATTTTACATTTTTGTTTTAAAACACTAACTGCCTCCGGCACATTTAAAAAAAAATTATTAATTTAAAAATTAAAATGAAATTTTGATCAGCCGCAATTTGTTTAATAGAAAGAAAGAAATTATTGACAAGTTATCAGTGGCAATCAGATTCCATATATTTGTAACATCTCAACTTATAAATATTTTAGCTTGCTTTAAAAGGATTTAGTGGGCAAAATAAGTCTGTTACAGGAAGTCCCACAGTACACAAACATCACTGGTCAAGCACAGTAGTCAATGAGAGGATGGGTGACCACTATGCTTTGACTGCTAAGGGACCAAGAGAGTGCGGTATCGATCCTCGTTAAACCGTTCTACTGTAAAGTGCTCGATTTAACGGGCAGGCTGCCAGGCTTGCAAAGCAGAGAAATCATCTCCGCTGAGGAACAAAAAGTTGAGGGTATGTCTTCGGATCATCCCCGGGGATGTCACCAGTAGCCCTTTGTGTAGCTTCTCTAGTGCGACATAAATAAAGTACTAGTACTACTGTTATCGGAAACTACATTATGCTGTTTAATCTCTTGCAAAGGTGCCTAAATATTAGTCAATGTGAGTTCTAAAAGTAAGCAAAAAATTATTTTTAAACTAGTTTCTGTTGATATGAATGAAAGAATGTCTGTTTATTTAAGCATAAAGGGAATCAAACAGTCTTCTGAATCAACAATCTGCCGAATTTTTCCCCAATTTGATTACACTTCATGTTGGCTTCATGATACTTCATGCTTATAAGTTTTTATTCAAGATCTGCTTGAGAGCTAGTTAGCATAAAAGCTAGTTAGCTTGTAAGCATAGAAGATGACATCGAAATAAGATTAAGGAAAACACCCAATATTTCGATGAAGAATATAACTCACTGCCTCCTACGTCCTAGAATAAGACTTTGATCCTCTGCCATTACATTAAAATTTGTTGCATAAATCTTCGAGCTTATTTCTTAAATTTCGATCTTCTTTAATGGTTGTTAGCCATCTGAAGTAATAGTAAAATCTTAGCACTAACATACGAATAGCAAAAGAATCTTAATTGCAAAACCAGCACATGCCATTAGAAAAGGCTTACGAAAAAAAAGTAATAATCGAACCAGCTACCTCACACGCTTCACAGTGATCAATGAAGAAAATTTTTTTATCCACAGAGTCCTTTTCTTCTTCCGGAGATGGACATTTTCCAATTTATTATCAATTAAGCTCTTATGTATTATTCACTTATATTTTTTTTATTTATTCAATAATTTATTAGCATGAGCCCACAAATCTTCATATCACTGTCTGAGACCATTTTCTCGTGCTTCAAAGGTTACTTCTACAATTAAGCACCTTTTTTTTGGCATTTTTGGGTCAAGTATTATATGAGAAAATGTCACAGTTTCGTTCTCCGAAATTACTAAAGAAGTTCGATGCTTGGAAGTGAACAAAATGCAAGCGCTTGATTGAAGTAATATAAGCTAAGATATTATTCTGTAGACATTCATTAATAAATCTTCAGACTAGTGAGCAAGAGTGAATAATAAACTCTTTTCACATTGTATTATTCCTGCAATGAAGAACAGGTAGCGCAAATAACTGTTGGACATTAAAAAGAGAAAAAAGATAGATACATCCAGTGTTACAAAGGTTGCCAAATTTCTCATATCTACGTTTTAAAGCCTATTTCGAGAGAACAATATCCAAAGGTCACGTAAATTTTATAAGTCTCATTGATTTCGAGGTACGAACCTGTAGCCTCATGTGTCGCTGTCTGGACATTAGCCTTCTCGGGAAATCTAACCTTAATCCAAGGGACTACGTTGGGTAGACTATTTAGCGGGTGGAAATAGGTGTTGAAAGCGTTTCCTGTGAAGCTAATAAAGATTGACACAGTACTAACCTCCCAGTAGAACACCGAAGTCAATCATCACTGTCAGCGGTCAGTAAGCGGGTGGGTGACTACTTTGATCAACCTGTGTAGGGACCGAGGGTATCGCCATATCTGTTCTTGTTAAACTGTTGTACCGTAAAGTGCTCTCCTTCACGCGCAGGTCGTAGGGCTATCAAAGCAAGGGAGCCATTCCCTCTAAAGAGGATCAAAATTGCAATGGCATGTTTCCCAGACCATAGTCGATAGTCCATTGTTCAGCTCTAGTGTGACGTAAATAAAATACTTACCTACCTACCAGTACAAGCCTACGGATGTATATGTACCAATAAATAAATTGACACAATAGCGGGTTCGAATCCTGACGTAAACCAGGATGTATTTTTCTACAGTCTTTCTCTGAATTGCGCTATCTTCTCTTCAACTGGCAAAGGCTTATAAGCAGTACTTACATAATTAAGAACAAGCCAGCGTAAGTATGTGTAGCAATAAAAATAAAGGTTGACACAAGTCTGTAAGGGGGGCGTCCCTGGCAGAGCAGTGTCTCCCGCCAAACGCTCTGTAGTGTAGAAGCAGTGGGTTCGACTCCCATTGTAACCCTGGATACAATACTAAATCTTCAAATTTACCCTCGTGCTGTCCTTTTCTGAATTGTACTATCTTTCTACTTGTTAAGGGCTTATAAGCCGTACTTATGTAATTGAGCACACAAGCATGCGTGAATGTGAACCAATAAATAAATAAGTTTGTATGTGTATATGAGTAACTAATTAAATAGATTGCAAACGTAAAATAAATAAACCTGAAATTAATTATTAAATCTCATATTATTATTTTAAAAAAAGATTTTAAAAAAATACTAAATCTTCAAATTTACTGTGCTATCTGTGGTGGACTTTATTACAGAACTTTATATAGAGAGAAATGATCTCTTACTAATGGATAAATCTGGAAGTTTGAATTCACGCTTGAAGTTGTGTTTAGTAAGTATTAATTTACTTTTCCGACTGTTGTAATATCTCTATTTTTTACGAATCACATTTAAGTTAAAACTAATGTTGATGTGGTATTAGTGTGTTTAATTTTGAATAATTTTGTGATTCTTAATATAAAATGTGACCTCGCGTCAACCGAACTCCTGAAACTGAATTTGCTGTTGGTAATAAGCATACTTGTGATTGTTTAAACTTATTATGTGCTCATGACTTTACAATATGTTTTTTCGATTGTTTTTGTTTTCGCTTTTCATTTGTTTAGGATTTTATTATAAATACTTAAGATAGAGTTCAAAGTTAAAATTTTCATTTAGTATGAAAATAAATGCTAGTTCAGTCAAATAACTTCAATTTCTTTGAAGTTGAAACTTCAAATATAAATGAATATTAGTCATATGGGGAATGAGGTAAAATAATTTTATTTCGAGTTTTCGTTAAATTTCATATAATGCTAACTATGCGGTACTTATTATTTTTTTACTGAAGCAATCATTCATTTTACTTACCGATTGAGGTAGTTATTTGCAAATGTTTGAGATGCGAATTCCAACACAACGGATTGATTCGATATGAGCTGTGCTTGACGCTTCGGTCGCAAGAAACTTAAATGAGCTGCTTGGGGACTTTTACTATCAGCCAAACCATTCTCTGAAAATTAATTTATGTATTTTATAAAAATAATTAGTTGTAAGTACAGTACCTAAAAATATATCTAGCTAGATGCAGCACATTTAAATGAAATATTTCTAAAGATGCTCTTTAAAAAAGGACAATATTTATGTATAAAGCTGTTTATTTAAAACAAATTATGTTTTTTCTTCTAAGTTTGTAAGATTCAAGGGTAAACAATTCTTAAATTTGAATAAGTTTACATATTCCCCTGAAGCAATTATTGGCATTTTAGAGTAATTACAATTATTAAAATTTCACCTTTATTACAAAAGACATTCAATGAAAAAAACTTAAATAACTATATTTAATAAGAAATCATCTTTGAAATCAAAAGCTTACCTTGAGTTTAAAAAATTGTACCCTTTAATATGATATTTATTTTTTAGAAAAAGAGCAACTTACCTTCTCATTTTTGCCTTAATTGTTAAATGATACACAAAAGACAATATGAAATTCAGATTATTTCATCACAAAAACTTATAAAGTAAGGATTCGTTTACTGTTTAAAATTCGACATAAAATTTTTTCAATACATCAACAAAATGAAGAATTTTGAGAAATGTAGAGATTTGTTTTATGCCGAAACACTTACTTTTGCTAATAGAAATTTTTTCTGTCTCCAATAATTCAGCCGCTTGTCTTTTTGCTCGAGATAAAGATTCTTTTAGAGTGCTTGAAGATACTTGAAATCGAGGAGATACTAAAACAGAATTAGAGATTTAGGAATTTAGATTTACAGATTATAGGCTGTTTGTGGAACACAACTAGTATTTCATTTTTGTTTTTGCTAATAAATTCATTTCGTTAGTTATCAATATGAACATTTTTTATAAAAAAAATATTACTAATACAGCATCAAGCAAAAATTTTTCCCAAATTAAGCTAACCTAAATAATTATCGCTTTATTATTTATTACTATTAAATTTAAGTTCAAAAATGACATTATGTGGAATTTTAAAACGAAATTATTATTTTTTTGAATAAATTACCACTGTTAATAATTTTTAAATTTATTTTTAGACGTTTTTCTTTATTCTAAAATCAGTGATAGCTTCAGAACTATTATTTTAAATTTAAAAGTGATCAGAAATATTTTTATGAAGTATAGGTCTCTGCATTTAAAGGTACGTAAACTACTAAAATATAAAAGCCCAAGTATAAGGGCTGAAAAGTATAGACTTCTTGAAAGGTCTTGAATTTTTAGAACTATTTTCGCTGTTGCACATTTACGTGCAAAAAATCACGAACAAAATCATTTTTATTGTTTATTTTTTTACACTATGGAGAGAGAGAGAAAATACAATAAATATTCAATATAATAGAAGTTTTTAATAATTAAAAAAGTAATTTTAATAAATTGAATAGATAAGTAATATTTTACTAATTAGAAAAACTTCAATAATTTATGAAGCTTACTAAAATAACAATACTATTTCAGTTATTTAAAAAACATATTTACCTGTCTCCCATTTGCTTAAATCCATAACAGGTATGTCAGCGGAACTGCAAGTTTGATAGGCATTTCTGAAATTCAAATAAATTTTAATTATGCAATAAGAAGCATTTAGAATGAATAAGGCCGGACTCAAGGGAGGAGGGCATAAAGACAAGCATCCCTAGACCTGGAATTCCTAAAAGCCTGATCGAAATTGATCACAAACAGTGGATGGATTGTATTTTAATTAATTATTTTAAGAGAAGATGGCCGGGAATTCTTTTATGCATAAAATAAATTTGATTAAAAGAAGTAGAATGCGTTTAGTTTTAAGCAAAAAAAAAAATCCCTAATAAAACAAGAGGAAATTAAAATTTAACTATGTTAATAAAAACAAATATTTTGAAAGCCCAAGTGTAAACTACTATGATGGAAAAGGTTTTTTCAAGTATTCCGAGAACCAAGGTGTAAACTGCTATGATGGAAAAGGTTTTTTCAAGTATTCCGAGAAACAAGGTGTAAACTACTATTATGGAAAAGGTTTTTTCAAGTATTCCGAGAAACAAGGTGTAAACTACTATTATGGAGAAGGTTTTTTCAAGTATTTCGAGAACCAAGGTATAAACTACTATTATAGAAAAGGTTTTTTCAAATATTCCGAGAACCAAGGTGTAAGCTACTATTATGAAAAGTGTTTTTCGAAGTGTTCCGAGAACCAAGGTGCAAATTACTATTATGAAAAGTGTTTTTCCAAGTCTTCCGAGAACCAAAGAGTAAACTACTATTATGAAAAAGGTTTTCCAAGTGTCTTACAAAATATGAAAACTAGAATTTTTTGAGCTTCAAGGAAGGGTTTTGCAAAATCTGTGTCCGGCCTTGAGAATGAAAAAAGTCTATATGATCTTAAAAAAATTTTAATTTCTTTTTGTTGATACTTACAAAAACGGATCGCTGACGTACATAGCTGATGGCTGCATAAAATCAGCCGAATCTGCGTTGTCACATAAAATACGAGCCAGCGTGCTTTTTCTAATTTCTGTCAGTTGCTCTAGAAATAAAGCAAAATAATACAAATTTCAGAAAAAAAGTAAATAGAAAATAAAAATTTGTGTTCAGAGTAAGCTTGTTTAGAAAGTAAACTATCTTATTTAAAGCTAAGTAAATTTATATAATACACAATGTTGTTAAATGCTGTACTAAAATATCAATTCAAAAAAAAAAAGTTTTTATCTATAATTGAATAAATTGGTAACTTTTCCTATTTAAGCGGAAACATTTTTACAGTTAATTTAAACTTTGTTAATGAGTGATTGTAATCATGCGCATACAGGCATTTGCTTACAAATATAAAAACAAGTGTAAAAATAAAATATAACTAAAAAATCTTGTATAGTAAATGGTTTAAAATTAGTAGGTTAAAAATATAACGAAAATCTTTTGACATTTGATCTTTTTAATGTAGTTTTGGAAAATTAAAATTAAGAAATTAAGTGATTTATATTTATTTCATTCAAAAAAGTCTTTTAATTTAATATTTCGATACAACTTTCAAAATAATTTTTTTTTAATATTTGAAAGTTCGCTTCATCACACTTAGTTATCTAAATTAATATTTAATTACAAAACAAAATCTGAAAATTTACCAAATTTATTTTTAGAAAGGAATTTCTAAATCTTCAAAACATGTCTACTACTTTACATTCATTGGCGTAGCGTCGGAGGGGGCACGCGTCCCTCGATAACTTTTCAAAACTTTAACTTTTAACTTTTTTAAATTGTTACTTTTCTTAAACACCAAAAAGAAAACTATTTTAAATTTAATGAAAAAATCAATAATTTTAGATAGTTTATTAATAATTGAACAAAATATTCCTATGTTTATCACTTTTATGTAAGTGGTATCTTTAAGATCAATTAATTATTTTTTGTAAAAAATTATTTCGATTAGTACTTAATGAATTCAGCATCTACACTGATGTTTTTTAAGGTAAAGTGCCACTGCCCGGTATACATTTGCCGGGTATACCCTACACTGATGTTTTTTTAAGGTCAAGTGCTATTGCCCGGTATATATTTGCCCGATACTGCAAACACTGATGTTTCTTCTAATTTATCGTCAGTAAGTATTAAAATATAGAATAAATATAAATATATCAAATAAATATAATAATATTAACGAATAAATTAATATAAAATTGGATATAACAAATATTTCGGACATTCACCAAAGCAACTACGTGAATGTCGACATTCACCGGTGAATGTCAACATTCACGTAGTCGCTTGGTGTATGTNTGTAGTAGCAAAAAATGTGTTATTTTTCATCACTCTTCGTCTTGCGTACAAATAAAAATTAGTAATCTTTAGCTGATGAGCAATCCTCAACATCAGATATGGAAACACTTCCCGACTCTCAGATAATTTTTCCTCAATTTCTGTTATTTCGCTTTTTAAACCTGTCTAACCTGCCATTCGAGCACATAAAAGTAGTTTCTATAGATGGTTTTAAAAATCGGTATATGTATTTATTTTGAAGTACAAATTTCAAAATTATTACAAGGAAAATGGGGGGAAATCAGTCGGAGACAGGAAAAAGTTCATTATATCCAACTTTCTCACTTTTTTGGTTCACTATATCCACTAAAAATAACATTATACGTGTATAGCAAGGCACGGGACCGAGCATTTCGTTCACTATACCCGGGAGTTCACTATAGCGGGGTTCGACTGTATATAGGATATCTGATTTATGAAGGATAAATACATTCTGATTTATTCGAAGGATAAATTTCTAGCTATAATTTGATGAAATACTTATGTTTAATATTCTTGTAATTTTTAGCCAAAAGGTTCCATAGGCACTAAATGCATAAAAATATTTTCAAAAAATGTCTCATTGCACATAATAAAACTGCTATTCTTTTACACTTTAAGGGAATCGCATATTAAGATATTGCACTTTTAAATTATAAATAAAGTGCATCATGATGGATCTGATTTTCTCATACTCCTCCATGTAATAGTTAAAACGAACTAAAATTGTAAAAACTTTTTAACATTTTGGGCACAGTGGGTTAAGCGATCATTATCACTAATTACATGCCTTGGTAAATTTTATTCCTGCTATTCTTTTTATTAAAAATATGTTATGTGACGATTAAGATTGTATTAGATTTTTACTATTTCTCAATCACATCTATATATTTGAAAATTAAATTGAAATATAATTCCTGTAAGAACGATTTCCTAATATTTGTTTTAAGAAGTAAATATTAAAAAATTCTAGAAATAGAAGTTTAAAAAACTATTATATTTTTTTTAATAATTGTTTAAAAATACATTTAGAAGAAAAGAAAAATCAATTTTTTATATTTTCAATAATTGAAATAGGATTGTATATCAATCTTAACAGTGATAAGAAGTGGTTAAAATAAGAAAAATAAATGAATTGCCACGGATTTTTATTTCTTTATTTTATTTTTAAGAAAATAAAACATCAAAATTCAGATTGGTCATGGTTCCACAGTATACCCTGACCCTGAATACATTGCAGAATCCGTCATATTTCACAAAAGTTCTTAATTAATGCCCGTATAAATTATGCCAGAAAATTGCTCTTAAAAGGCGAAGCTTATAATAAAATTTTCTCTGGGTATTTCTCTCCGAGTTTATATACATATATTATAAAAAATATATTATACATATTTATTTATAATATATATATTATAAATTAAAGAAATAAAAAAAGTGCTTCCCCCTTCAAATAATTTTTCACGCTACACCTTTGTTTACATACATCCTTAGCAATAGTAGAATTATATTTGCAGTCAGAAATACTCTAGTGCTTAATAGATGGCAGCACTATTTAATAAAATATTTAAGTTTTTGAATTCATCCTCTCAATGTATATAAGTGGAGAAAAGTTTTTTTAAAAAAATAAAAGAAAAACACGCGTGTTTAAATAAATAACTAAGTTTATCAGTTCAAGAAAAATAAGTTAAAAGGAAGACAACTAAATTTGATTTGATTTTTGAGAATCAATTTAGAATTGAGCATCTATGTTTCCTATTTTACATTAGATGGCAGCACTACCGTTTGAAATAAAATTGCTCTAATTTTTTTTCTTTCTTATTTTCAATGGCTGGATTTTTTTAAGTTTAATGAAATATTTTATATATCTAAAGCAGGAGGCTAGTGATTCTTTTTAAAAAGGTTCTAGGATAACACAAATATTTATAAAACAAAAAAAATTTATAAATCAATTTTTATACGCCACCAAGTTTTCCTTAGGAGTGGAAGAAAACAAATTCTTAGTATTAAAGTAATTCCTGGTCATAATTTAAGAAAATAAAATTTACTAGAATACATTCATAAAAATGGGTGGAGAATAATAAATAGGAGTAAGAAAGTTGAATTTGTGAAAGAAAGAATTATTTTAATTTAGTTAATCAATTCAACTATTTGATATATATCCACTTTTAGATTATAATGTAATAAAAATTATCTAAGATTATATTATTCCTTATATTAAAACTCAATAATTTCTTTTATATGAAATTTCAATATATATAAATTTATATCCCTTTATTTAACTACTTTATTTTTTTAACGGAAATGAGATTTTTTTTTTTTTTAATTTTAACTTCCCTAAACGTAGTAGAAATCAAAAGAAATAACAGAAATATGGTAATAAAATCTCTTATGCTTGAAGTTCAAGCACTAAAAAGCAAAACCCTTTTTTCACTAGCTTATTAGTTCGAATAAAAATTTTAATATCTTACCTTTTGTAAAAGATGAGGGAGGTATATCATTCTCATACCAAAATCGATCTCCTCTTCGAAGATAGTGAAATTGTCTTCCCAACAGGCATGCAAAAGTAGGCCCAATAACAGCTCCGTTCAGAGGAGTTTCAGCTAAACCTCCAGTAAAAAGATCAATATCATGTACGCTTCTATAAAGACAGAAAAGTGTTTAAAACCAGGCTGAATATTTGATAGATAAGTGTGACAGAATTCTTTACGTAGTTAGTATACTTAACATTTTATTGTACATGCAAAATACATCAAAACAAAATATTTATATTATAAATCTTAAAATACTGCTATACGAACTAGTTGTAAATTGCGTAAAGTTCATAAAGAAAATAATTTTTCCGTCTCTTTTCTTTAAAAAAAAAAACTATTCTCAAAACTGAAATAAATTGAAAAAAAATGAGTTTATTTAATTAAAAATTAGTATTACATTTATTATATTACAAAATAAAATTAATGATAATTTTAATATTGTTTTCAATATTAAATATTAGTATAGGTAATTAAAAATTAGTTTTGATAATCGTAAGGGCATTTACCACATCCCTTGTCAGTGAGATCGTAGAAGCATCGGACAAACTAGACTCTCTTTAAAATTTAGAATTTGAAAAATCATCAACTGTTGTACATTGTTGGAATCTTTGACATAAATTCAATTTCGATAATACCAAAATTATTTCCACCCCAGTCACATCAGTTCATCTTGATACCCTGGAATCTTGTTTTATTCATATGAATGCCAATTCCCTTGTTAACGACATAAGCGCCTCACTATCTAGAGTGTGTAAATTCATTTTACCCTGGCTCTCAGCCACTTAGGTTTTTCTTGTTCTGTTTTTCACTTTTTTTTTTCTCCTCGGCTTCTGTGGTTTTTCTAGGTTTGTTTGACACCTTTATTTTTCCATTTTTGTTGGCAACTTGACGTCTTATATTTCAAATCACTTTTGTTTCATTCACTTCTGACAGTGAGTGCCTGTTTTTGAGCGCTTGAAACATGTCGACTATTTTTAATCTGTATATGTTTTAAGTGAATGAAATTTTCAATCAAGTAATATTCTACAAACTATCTACTAAAAAACTTTTTCAATTAAATGTTATACTGTCGTGCAATAGAAAAATCTATGCAAGCGGCGATTTTAAAAGTCTGTTTTAGCCCTCCATCGAGTTAGCAATAGAGATAAAATAGTTTTCAGCCCACTTTTCCTGAAATTAATTCTGAAGCACTTGCNTGTTTTAAGTGAATGAAATTTTCAATCAAGTAATATTCTACAAACTATCTACTAAAAAACTTTTTCAATTAAATGTTATACTGTCGTGCAATAGAAAAATCTATGCAAGCGGCGAAATATTCAAATTTGAGATTTTTATATACTTGGCCATTTTTTTTATAAGTTACTTATTGAAAAAAAAAATTCAGAGATTAATTTAGCTGTATAAGTTTATTTTAAAAGTCTGTTTTATCCCTCCATCGAGTTAGCAATACAGATAAAATAGTTTTCAGCCCACTTTTCCTGAAATTAATTCTAAAGCACTTGCGTTGGTTTTTCAACTGCACGGCAGTATATGATATTTAGAAAATTGATTAATTTTCTTGAATAAATAATAAAATGAAATTATTTATGTAAATAACTTAATGGGAATAAGGAACTGGATTTATTTTTAGCGATTCTTAAGAGGTCTGTTTACATAAAATATTTTATATAGTATTTATATAATATATTTTACATAATATATGTTATAAAAATATCTTAATCTTAAACATCGTCGCATGTAGCATACAGATATCGTCTATGAGCCATAATTTTTTAATATTTAATTAAATTCTCCCACATAAGTTCAAATTTCTCTACAAAAATAGTTTCATAATATTCTACTAAAGCCTACCATAAAAGATTAAAAGTTTTCAGGTTGCACAGATATAGAAATAAGTAAAATATGGATATAAACTGTAAGAATTTAACCGTCAATTTAAAAAATGAATAAACTCGTTTAACATAGACCTGAAAATATAAATTTTCAGTTAGTAGCCAGAGGCCGGTAGACTCTAATAACATACTAACCACGGTTTCCTCAAGCCTAATGAGTATCGATAGGCCTTTTTTATTAAATAGCCACTTTTTACAAACTTTTTCTTCCTCGTATTAAATATTTTTTTAAAATAATAACGTATTAGAAATAATCAACGGCTATTAAAACTTAATTCAACAATAAAAATAATATAAACAAATTTAGTTAAACATACTGACTTTAAAGGACTTTATTAAAAAATATTTGAAGATGCAAAATACATTTAATGTATACATTACAATTTTTTAAGAACTCTCCTTCATCTTCAATCTTTCCACCACAAATTGATGATTTTGAAGGATCAAAATTTTGAATGGGACACTTTAATAAAAATTTTGTTTTGCAGAGTCTCTCTGCAATGGTGTACTTTTATTATCATTAACCAATCTTCAAACAAAAAAAAAGGGAAAAAGTGTTCAGTTGCTTATTTCAGTCGTCACCTTTTTTGGTTGACTCGCCATACGGCGAGTGGCTATCGTCATGTCTAGTATAACATAACATTTTGAGAAAAAAAAAATTGATAGTACTTACTTGTATGTTTTAGAAAGTCTTTCGATTGTATCACTGGCCATAACAGCTCTTAAATCATTAAAAGTGTTGGTTATTGGATCTAGGCGACAAAATTTCCGCCAATGCGTATATCCAGGTATGCCATGATCTCGACCTTGTTGAATTGTCAAAGCTGCTACATCAGTACCAGCACCTTAAAAATCCAAATAAACTCTCCATTACTTTTTAGCAAGTGCCAACTAGCACTTTTCATTTCATTAATTATAAAGTTCATTCATTTTCCTTTCACACATTTTCATTTCAAATTCTTTCTTTTTTTTCAAAATATAAATACTTGAACAATGCAAATAAGTCATATTCTATTTATTCACTTACTGCTTCAATTTTATTTTTTTTAACCACTTCGTTTTTAGTTTTAATAAAATTGCAATTTAATAAAACTAACAACTTAATAAAACTTATTTTAATAAAACTAGGAACTAAGAATTTTTAATTAAAATGTAATTATTAAAATGCAATACAGTCGGGTCGGGTCATTGCATTTTAAAATGTGATTATTAAAATGCAATACAGTGAGAAAAAAAATTGTAAAATTCGCAATGAAAGCACGAAAAGTTAATGAACTTATTAATTACATATATTTAAGCTTAAATACGGATATAAGTTTATCAGCATTATTATGACAATTATCTTGTATAATGAGTAATTTGATTATACACTTATTGTTTGTTGCAATTATGTATAAAATAGTGTTATTTTAGGTTTCAAAAAAGAGCTATTTCTTCTTGAATAAGTTATTGAGAACGGGAAATGCATTTACAAATATTATCTACGTGAATTCTAAAACTACTAAAAAAGTGGGGATCATGTACAGCAGTGTTTCCCAAAGTGTGGTACGCTTACCCCCAGGGGTACGGGAACAGTTTAGCGGGGGTACGCGTTCTTATGCAAAATATCTTGCAACCAACTGAAATTTCAAAAACTTTTGTTTAAAAACAAAGCTAGCCATGAAAATTTACGATTACATATTTTTCTATTGGCTATTTTTTGCAGAGTTAACAGTTAATAATTAGTTGTGTCGACAGTCAGTTGTGATTTTTTACTTTTGTGCAATTATTTTATAGTAAAAAATAATTTTTTTATTAGTGGTACACAGCGTTACGAAAAATTTAGAAATGGTACATAAAAGTCTTAAGTTTGGGAAACACTGATGTACAGGATATTCTACAACCATCGCTATCATTATATACATTTTTGGTATCTTTGTTAAAAATAAAGTTTTAAAAACCTTATTAAAACCTAATGAATATTTTTTTTATGGAATCAATAGAAAAGTTGTCCTGATAATGATTTATTAGATTTTTCTAACGTTCTTTTTCTCTTTGTTAAATCTAATAAGTCATCCTTATGCTTCATTTTATCTTTGACGTGGATTCTAAAAGTACATATTAAGGGGGTTGATTACAAAGCACCCTGTATAGTTCATCCAGGGTAAGAAGAGGATGGAGTAGTTTAAGTCCATAAGGCTAAGACAGTGATTACATAGAAAAGCACCTAAAGAAGTTTATTAAAGTCGAAGGGTTAAACTTGGCACCAAAGACGATTTTCTAGCACAATGACATCCTCGCACAACGCCTCCTAGAAGAGAGAAAGCCTCCGCATGAATCAATTTAGTAGTCCGATGTAACAAATATGAAATACACAGGGAAAGAAAAATAAAAGATGTCACATCGCCAGGTCTACTAAATTGCGCTGTGGGGAAAAATAGAAAATATGTCACAGCGTTCGGACTTCTAAAATGATCAGATTTCTCGTTAAGGCTTTCTCTCTTCTAGGAGGCATTGCCTAGCGTCGAAGGGAACTCTTTGAAAGTCAATCGTCTTCTTACGGTGACTGAGTTACATTCAGGGACATGCTAGCTATTAGATTTTAATGTAAATGTCATTTGCTTACCTGTATTGGTTTCTGTAAATATGTTGTTAGTCATTTCCTTTGATATAAACTCATCCCGGTTCTGTGCTTTTTGACTAACCAATCCGAGAAGATATTCATTCAGTTTGTTTGGATCATACATATCAGATGGCTGGAAATAGGTTTCACTCATGGCTTTGGAACCTACTTTTTTATAATCACGAGAATAAAGTTCGAAATGGGATGGCATCATCGAAAATAAAAATGAGAAAACTGCAGAAGCCACAGCGTTTGAGATTCCTGGGTTGATGTTTATATCGTATCCTGTGTAGTGTCCGCTTCCTTGGGGCTGAAGATCAAACTTATCAATAATATCTTGTCCCAGTATGGCTGGTAGTAGTTCTTTATAAGTTATGTGCTGAAGCTAAACAAATTGAAAAATATTATCTAATAGCCAAAAAACTGGTAAATTGTAGCAAAAAAATCTGTGTTAACATTCTATTTTATTCAAGAGCATTTAAAACATCTATTAAAAAATTTAAATTCAAGCAGAAACAAAATAACTAACTAAACATGTGGCTAGTTACATGTGTTGCATCATATGGCTAGTTGAAATTAATAAAAATGAGCTAATATCAATTGTATTTAGAAGTAAAATATATTCTTTTAAATTTCGAGTAGGTGAACTAAAAGGGGAATTTTATTTCATCAATTTAAACAATTTGAACACATTGTTCTCTATATACGTTAACGCTTTTTCCTTTTCATTAAGCAAACCATCATTTCATTTCGAAATGAAATATATTTATTAAATTTCAAGTAAATAATATAAAAGAAAACTATTTTGTTTCATCAATTTGTACAATTGTAATACATTATTTTCTATGTTTGTTAACGCTTTTTAATTTTCATTAAACAAAATATTTTATTTCGAAGTGAAACTTATTCTTTAAATTTCGAGTAAGTAAACTGAAAGAGAACATTTTGTTTTATCAATTTATATAATTGTAATATGTTATTTTATACAGCACGTTACCGCTCTTTTATTTTCAATAAGCAGAATTTCCTTTTTTGGAAAATTTTTTTTGTTTGCATTAAAGTTTATAGTAATGTTATAAGAAAAGTGTCTTCATTCTGGAAAATTCATCAATGAATATGTTTGTAGCAAGTAATTATTTTTGAAAATAAATATATTCATAATTCATTCATACTTCTGCTCCCACTATTCTTCGAGCTTCTTCAAAGAGTTGATGATCATCCCAATGCGGATTCAATTGTGCAAGCGCTCGTGCCAATCTATTATGTTCTCTCATCCAAATTGTATGCATAACAACTAGACCAGCATTTTCATTCACTCGAATATCACCTAAATTATGACAACATGGAGTATTATTTCTTTGGCAAATTTTATACAGAAATATTTGAGGAAAATTCTCATCACAAATTTAGGTACAAAAAGTTTAATGTATTTACTTACTTTCTTCTTTAAAGTTATTTATTTACTTTAAATTTTTCTTGATAAAGTAAGTATACCAGTACAGAGCAGAAACTAATCTAACGCAGAGCTCCTGAACAGTTTTATCGGGTCAACGCTCGATAATTTTACTGCAGCCCGCTGAGATTGGGGGGGGGGGGGGGNGGGGGGGGGGGGGTGATTGCTTACATTTTAGATTTTTTGATTTCTAATTAAAATTTAATTGTATTTAAACAGGCCTTCGAAATAACGCAATTACTTGCACGGTATTGGTGCAGCTTGAGATGATTTTTCTCACCGCGCGACTAACCTCTCGTCCATGGAAAGTTGTACAAACCCGAAAAAAATACGCTACGGTAAATAAAATGGAAATAATTTTATATTGCCGGGCGGCCCGGTATCATTTGATCCATGGACAGCTATCAAACCGCGGCCTGGGGATTGGAGACCACTGATCTGACATACAAATTAAATAATGCGTTATAACCAGACCAATATATACAAATAGCGTTATTGTTATAATCTTTAATCATAGTAATTATAATCTTTAATTACGTAAAATTATCCAAATAACCTGAGAGCAGTCATGAATTTTGATAACCTATAATCACAATTACAAGTGATTGCTTACTATGTATAGTTTTCGATTTCATGAATTTCTCCGATTTTTGTAATTGGCGAATTTTGACACATACTGCTAATATTTTATATCCTTTGAAACAAGCTTTGTATACAAATAATTGAAAAATGTTTGGCGCTGATTTACAGAAAATATTTAATGAGTATTTGTTCGCATTTGATAATAAATCTTCAAGTTAATACAAGAAAAAAAGAAACACATAAACGATATACTAGAAAATCAAACTAACAACAAACATGATGACTACTGTTTCTATTGACTCTTGAACAAGCTAAGCTCACAAGCCATTGGCCTTTTGCGAATTAAGTTAAGAAGATGAGTCTTTCGTTTAACAAGAAAGCACCTCAAGGGTAAAAGTATGTTTTAGCTCAGAACCCTACAGTTAAATGGCAACATCACTCATTCGTGAAGCCACTTCCTCGATTTAGACATAGATCTGAAGGGGAAAGAAGTTTTCTTTAGTTCTCAGTGACCGACCACAGGAATTTCAATTTCACAGATTTTACGGGCTCGTATATCGCATGTACTTGTTGGGCTTTAGCAGAATTGAGGATTGAACCCCGGCCCCTCAGTACCGGAATCTGATTTTCTAACCATTGGGATACCACAGCCCTATGGTAACTACTAACCTGCTAGGAAACATCTTGTTTTTCCTTGACTTTTACAATACATTTGCTCATTATCAGGAGGTAATAGCTCTCGACCCACTGATGTTCTTTGAGATTTCAACTCTCCACCTCTGAAAGTCCTCAATAAGTTAGCTTCTTCAACTGAAGACCCGTAAATAACAGATGCATCCAGAAAAGAGGTTACTTGATTAATTTGTTCCCTGGGTCCTAGCGTACAACCAATACGAGGAGCCGAACAAGTCCTAGTGTATTCCATACAGTTTTGATTTCGACGTCCAAATACAGGATCTGTTTGTGGTATACGAATTGGATAACATTCTGGATGGAATTGGCTTCTTTCTACTCCGCAACATTTTATCCGGCTTCCTTGAAAACCTACATTAACAATAATTGAAGGCAATTTAGTAAAAGATAAATAAAAGTATCCTTTCTTAAATATTTTTATTAATAGATATAGTTACCTCCAGCTTGAGCTACATGAGACAAATCATGGTAAACAAACTCTCCAAATATTGCCAAAATTGCTGTTACATGTGTGTGAGGTCTGTCTGAATCGGTATGTACTGTCATACTGACTTCACGGGAGCTGGGTAAAAATTCGTTATTCAGAGATTGACGGGGTAGAGCGACAGCTGAAAAAGGATTGTATTTTTCTGTATTATATAAGTTCTAAATAAACTGGTGAAAATATACGAATTAAAAAAATTTTTTGAATTTATCAGAAAAATCATTTTTTACTTTAATATAACTATAGCCTTGTACGTTTTACAAAATTTCTCGAAAGTGCTAGATAATATTAACAGAATATTAGCTGTTGATATCAGCAACTTGACATGATATCGTTGAGGCAGTTTGTTGAATGTATTAACAAAATTGCTTTCATTCCTTCGCTATACCACAATTAGTATATAAAGTTTTCTGTCATGAAATTAAATTTTATTGAAAACAACGTTAAAAATCATAATTTGTAAAAATTTATTCGCGTTTCGGTGTTACAATAGTACATCTTCATCAGTAGGATAAAATACAAGAATTTTTACCATTTAATATATTTTATCCCGCTGATGAAGGTAAACCATTGTAACACCAAAACAAGTATGGGTTTATAATAAAATTTTTATCATTTGTGATTTTTAACATTGTTTTGATTGGAATTTACAATCACTATTATCTTGTACCCTTTAACAATGCAAATTTAGTGCCCTGGTGTGATAAAATTATTTTCGAACGACAGCTTGTTGAATGTGGCTGCAAAATTATCTATTCCTTCACAAACAGAATAGTTTTTTGCGTTTTGCAAAATTTCAGGAAATTGCTGAATAAAATTAGCAAAGTATAATTTGTTGATATCAGCAATAGTGCTTTTTTGTGATCGTGTAAGATAAAAAAGAAAAACAAATTCTGCCGATATACATGGGTATTTCTAGAACAGAATCTACGTACGGTGCCATGTATTAGACGACTGTCGAGGAATCATGTTCCTATCATTTTTTTCAGATCATCTTGGACGATACTTTGTTTTAATTTACATGTAACATTAACTACTAAGCCATCCTATCATTTGGAAAAGTGTACCGGAATTTTCTAGTGCTTATCTTAAAGATATGTGATGTTGTTCTGTTTTTATATGTAAGAAATATTTTGATAATATATATGTTGCCATAAATTTACCAATAACATTGAAAAACATAACTTTTGTTACATTTATACAAATACTTGATCTTGCCTAATTCAACTTGCCTAATTAACTCAACTTGCCTTTTCAATCTAAAATTAGTTTTGCACTTAAAACTACAGAGATTTTTAAGTGACAATTTTTGTCTATTTTTTGTTGAAATGTGCAAGATTAAAAAGGTTATACGTAACGGGGGATCACGTAAACGTTGAGACAAACCTCAGTACGGAAATTAGGATTGATCATCAGGATTGAAATTGCATAGGAACCAATAGGAATTGCATAGTACGCTCCTAAGGATACTTCCCTTTTATGATCTATTCAGATGCACACGAAAAAAAGTTCATAATAGGGAAGTGCCTTTTAGCGGCGTATGTCGACATTTCCGGGCATGGTACCTATGCAATTTTAATCCTCAAAGTTCCCCAAAAAGTTCATCGCAACATTTACGTGATCCCTCTGCTATATATAACGTTTTTAAACTTGTATATTTCGCAAAAACTAGACTAAAAATGTCATTTTTTAAAAAAAAAAAATTTAAGCATAGAGAAAGAAACAGTTTAGAGATTTATAAACAGCCATACGAAAATTTCTAAGATCTGTTTTAAAAAAATCTCATGCAATAGAAAACAAAAAACTAATTATTCCCCAGTGCAATCCGAGCACCATCTAAAAATGGCTTTTATTGCAAATAACATGTTATAACTTGTAATTTTTGCTATTTCAATGAAATTCTACTTACAATCTGCATAATCAGGGGCCAAAAATCTGACGAATCGTCTGTTTGAATTTCCCCAACTTGGATTTTGCACGTTGTTGCAAAAGCCGCTAAATGCTCTGTACTTTCTTGGTTGACAAGGAAAATTGACTTCAAAGGGACAGTTAGTACTTAAAACAGTACCTCTTATATCAGCAGTAGGTAGACCATAGGAAACCTGGTCTTTACTTAGCTCATACCTGAAATGACACGAAAAGATGTTCAAAATGCTAATTTGTTGGCTAATATAACAGACATTCTATTCCATTATAAATTTATATAATTTTTGAATATTAATTTCCTCTACTTCGGAAAATTGCAGATATTTATATTATTTCGGTAATCAATTTAGTGACTTCTTCTTACTTCATACTTTCAGGAAAATACCATTTTCCTGTCAAAATTTTTTTTCAACTTTAGACCATAATGTTGATACCTTGAACCACAACATAGAGCAAATTTGTTGCAACAAGTCATTAAAATGAACTCTATAATATCGATACCTTGAATGATACAAATTTGCTGTAACCTTAATAAGCTACTAAATCGAGCCATGTTTTCATTCAAGTAGAAGCATAAAATCGTATAATCAAGTTTAAGAAAAACGATAATATTGAAACTAAGCTCCAAATTAAGGTTTCGTGTTATCAGCGCCATCAACTTAGTAATCTTAATAAGATACTAAATCAATCCATGTATTAGTTCAAGTAGAACCACAGCATCGTGTAATCAAATTTAAGAAGTACTACAAGCACCATATAATACCATAGGAAGTACTATAAGTTAAACTAAGCTCCAAATTAAGGTTCCTATTAATCAGCGCCATCAATTTGGGTACCTTAATATACTAAATCAAGCTATGTTTTTGTTTTAGTAAAAGCACAGTATCGCGTAATCATGTTTAAGAAGTACTGTATGTCGAAATCGGTACCAAATTAAGGTTTCGTGTAATCTGCGCTGTCATTTTACTAACCCTAATGAGGTACTAAATCAAGCCATATTTTAGTTAAATTCAAAGCACAGTATATAAAAAAATACTATAATGCGTTAAAATCAGCACTAAATTAAGGTTTAGTGCCATCAATTTAGTTACCCTAATACGGAACTAAATCGAGTTCTCGTTTCAGTTGAGCCAGAGTANTGGAATTTTTGTCAGTTAAAAATAGTTAAGTAAAAAATGTTACAATTGACCCCACTCTCCCCTACTGTATGTTGAAATCGGTACCAAATTAAGGTTTCGTGTAATCTGCGCTGTCATTTTACTAACCTTAATGAGGTACTAAATCAAGCCATATTTTCGTTAAATTCAAAGCAAAGTATATAAAAAAAATACTATAATGCGTTAAAATCAGCACTAAATTAAGGTTTAGTGCCTTCAACTTAGTTACCCTAATACGGAACTAAATCGAGTTCTCGTTTCAGTTGAGCCAGAGTATCATATAATTAGGTTTAAAATACGATATTAATAAATACCGTAACCATATTAAGATTGCATTAAATTTAAACTCTGTTATGGTAACAGTGTAGTTTTGGGGTATAAGTCAAATGTTGAAATCTATCGAGGTATTAAGGTCAAAATAGGTAGCTATCCCTTAACAACTAACCTAGGGTGTGTGAATCAGATTTGTAAGCAGGACAATTGGACAATAATTTACAAAATCGAATATCCGTATTATGAGGTGAAAAAAACTCTTCCAAAAGAACTATCATCATCATTTCCGCATATGATTACCCTTGAGCTATCTTGACAAAATATAAACAAGATAGAAGGTCGAAGGGTGCTGAAAAGCATGGGTTAGTGGGTCTTCATTCTTCCTTTTGTCTCCTCTGCTAATCAGTTTTAGTTAGCTACTTATTCGACAAAAAGAATGCATTCTTAGATATAAGGGAAGCATTAAAATTGCTATTGTTTAGTTCTAAGACAACTGCTTAAATCAAGAAGTTTTGAGATATCCCCCGTTACAGATTAAGATGAATGAAAAATTGCTTTTTGTCTGCAAGCAATTGTTTCCAAGAAATTACTTTGAAATTGATGCTTGTTAGGAAAGGGATATAAAATCAATTGTGGGATTTCTTTTCACGGGGAAAGTATAGTTTGTATAGAAAAGGTATATAATATTTATGGTGGTATATAATAGGTAATTTATAGTTATAATACATTTAAGTAAAAATTTCCAATTTTTAACCAATGGTTATTTGGCAATGAATAAAATACGCTAAGTGACAGACCATGGGATTATGGTTGTACTTCAAAGAGCGTATCAGAAAAAAAATTGGCAGAAAAACTAGATTATTATATAAAAAGTTATGCCTGAGTTTGAAAGTTTGTATTTCATTCATTGTCTTCATAATTATACTCATCGATAAATAATAAATTCTGATAAAATAATAAACATATAATGAGCTTATTTACTTATAAATCTATTATTAAAACTTTTGTATAAACTTATAGTTTATGAAATTATATCTATAAAGTTATTATACATTTAATAAACAAACTTGACAAATTTTTATTGTTCAGCAAGTTTTATTATTTAGTACATTGTGTAGTACATTAGTTAGAACATGAGGTATATTAAATTAGCACGTTATTTAGTTTATAAAACTGAACTTTCAATGGGAGTTTCAGTAATGTTGGAATGAAATTAAGAAACAAGTGTGGAGTCCTAAATAGTTTATTCCAAGTGGAGGTGATTTTTTTTAAATTGTCTCAAAAATAGAATAAAAAAAATTAAGAGGAACCCTAGATAAGAAAAAGTACCAAACAAGATAATTTCACATTTTTCATTAAAGTTCTTAATTAATCCAAAGGTTTTTCTCTCACTGTTATGCTTATAATACTTTTCATTGATCTCCAAACAAGACTACCCATTTTTTGACAATAAATTTTAATAAAAAAATGCGAAGTGTAGTAATTTCATTTATCTTATGAAAATTCTCAGTTAAACCAGAGGTTTTTTTCACTATTATACTTTTATGTGCGTTTCACTTAACTCCACTACTCATTTTTTGACGAAAAGTTTTAATAAGAAAGAAATATGAAACGAAATGATTTCATTCATCTAATTAAAATTCTTAGTTAAACCAAATTTTTTTCTTTTACTGTTACACTTTTTCATACTTTTCACTGATATCAGGACAAGACTAATCACTTTTTAATATAAATTTTGATAAGAAAAAATACGAAAAAAAATATTTTTTTCTCATTAAAATTATTAGTTAATCCAAAGAATTTTATTTCATCATCATACGTGTCACTGATCTCCGATTACGATTACTCAAACTCACTTTTTGACTATAAATTTCATACGAAGGGATTAGCTCTTACTCTTTTTTTTTTCAATGTACTGAATTGTGTTTCAATCACTCATGTTAAATCCAGCAATTTCCTGTCTAAAGTTCTTACAAAGCCTCAAGCCATGAACTTGGCTTTTCTGAAATCTTTTACTTGATTCCGTATAACTGTTTTAGAAATTAGTACTTTATGTATTATTAACGTTTAATTAATTATTTCAATGACAATAGCCCTTTGACGCAGATGAAACACCGGTGTACCTTTTATATATTTTTTTTCCTGACGCTCTATTTAGAAGCAAAAATATATTTCGATATTTTTTAACTATGAAAAAATAAGTCTAATAGTAACTAAAAACACCTGTTTGATTATCAGAATTATATTTTCATTTACAAATGAAATCCAAAAAAAGAAAGTAATTTGATTTTGATAATGAAATTAAAATAATCAACAATTGATTTTAGAAATTAAGGAAATTTTAATAATGAATATCTGCTTCCTTTAGATCTAAATAACTGAAAATAAGAGCAAATTAGAAAAATTATTGTTTGGAAGTGTGGCGTGTTTGGAACAATTTACCGTTAACGCAGAAAAAGACACCGACGTTTCATACTGTATTATATAACCATATTTATAATGCTAAATATAATATTTTTCACTTATTTTGACATTAAAATTAATTTAAAATAATCAAAAGTTTAAAAAATATGTTTAATTATTATTCTGCGTCGAATGTTTAAAGATTTGGAAAATGTATATTTCAATGCATCTGTAAATTTATTTTTTTAATTTAGTTAAAATTTCTCTTTTTATTAAAGAAATTTTAACTACATTGCGAGGCATTCGTCGATATTTATAAATTACTATCTTATACATTCAGATTTTCTTCTAGTACTCATTGCTCCAAAACCAGTTTTTTTTCTTTTTTTTCAGACAATTGCACTTTCTCGAGATCCAAAACTAAATTGGCTAATGCTCCATTATGGTATTATTTAGAGAGTAAATTTCACATCTATGAGAGGTTTCAGTCAGTGAGCATTTTCTTACTATCATATCTAGTTAATATTTCAAGAATAACTAAAAAGTAGCACTAAACTAACCATAACCGCTCAAAAGACCGGCTATTGTAACTTGTATTGTATTATAAAGTGTTGGTTTGTTCAGTGTTAAAAGAAACGCTTGTTAAGTCCTCTAAAAAGTGAGTTTAAACGAAATAATTTTATGGTGCAATCTAATGTGAGTTTACTTCCAATGAAGTTAATTTTTATTGTATCACAACGTGATTAACACATTCAGCTCCTGTGATGCATTAAGCGTACCTTAACTTATTGTTAGATTTTGATAAAAGCCAGATTTTCAAAGCGTAATTTCCTGTGAGCATTCTTTTTACTTCCCATTTAACTTTCTTCTTTCACGGTCACGGTCAGGGGCACGTGATAACTGTTTTAAAATGTAGACACAACAATTGTCCTTAATGATTCATCGAGTAGTCTGTATATATTAGGAGATTAAGATATTGATAAAATCTACATATATATATAAATATATATAAATATATATTTACACTATATTTAGAAGCAAAAATGTCAAAATTTATTTGCGTATTAACAGTCCAATAATTATTACAAATATTCTGTTATATTATCGGAATTATAATTGTACTATATGAAATCCAAAAGAAGTAGTTTGAAGAAAAAAAATCATTCGTATTTAAAAAATTAATCAATACTTGATTTTGTATACAAATTTTGAAAAAATTCCAATGATGAATAAATGTTTCTTTTATATCTAATTGCAAATAAATGCAAATTTGAAGAATTATTGTTTGAAAGCGAGCCGTGCTTGGAAGATTTTACCTTTAATTCAGAAAAAGGCACCGAGGTTTCATGTTGTATTTCATAATCATAAATTATTAAAATGACAAATTTAATAATTTTCATTTATTTTGACCTAAATTATTACAAAATAATAAAAAAATGTATGAAAATTATGTTTATTTCTCATGATTTTTAATAAACTATAAAAATATGTGAAGACCCAAAGAAAATATACAATGTCATTCCCAGAAAATTTCCCCAAGTATTATTGTTATCCAAGTCTAGATTAAAGATTATTAATAGCCTAACAGAAATAATACTTTCGCTTAACATGAATTCATGAGCACGTATTCATTTATTATTTTAAAGTTTTTTTTTCATAATTAATACATATCACTTTGTGAAAAAAAGAAATTCTATTTCAGAAAAGTATTCAAAAATTCTAATCTTTTATTCACGTGTTTAAAACTTTCGCTCGTAATTGATTTTTTAACTAAGCATTGTTTGGATTTAAAGTTCACTGTTTTTAAAATATTTAAAAAGAAACGCTGAAGTAAATTCAATTGTAGAAGTTTTGAAAAACTGTATAAAAATGGTTGTTTTTAATATCCTGGGAGAAAACAGAGATTAAATGGAAATAAAAAGAGTGTAAAAAAAAATTCTTTAATTTTTTTCACTTAATTTCTCTGTCTCTGTTTTTTGGGGAAAAATTACACCAATTGAATAAATTACGATTGCAGTAAAATTTACCTAGAGCCAGTAGAAGAAAGAAAAGATTTAGCGTTATTACTGAACCTGATTTTACACTACTAAAACAAGTCTAATAATGAAATACATAGAAAAAACAATAGAAAATAAAAGGTGAAAAATGTTGAAAACAATAGATGGTCGGGATAGAATCAAATAATAAAAACACAATCTCAATTTTTATTTCCTCTTCAAATGAAAATTCGAATTTCATTCGAAATTATTCAGGCGTTTCAAACGGAAAGGTGAGAAAACATCTTTTACTTTTCGAACACAACACAAATACTGGCTAATAAAAAAACAAAATAGGTAATTGACACAAAAATGATCGTTTTCAGGGTCAGTAAAAGTTCAATACTCTTCTAATGTATCATAGATATAAGATCGTAGGTGGTGGTTGAACGTGAAATTTTTGTTATTTGAAATTACAGATGCCCGGATGTTATTAATATGCAACTCGCGCGTTAATTTGCAAATAAGGTTTCTAAACAAGAGCTAAATGTTGAAAGTTTATTAAGGAGGTTTGAAAGAAAGGAGATAGATATAGGCCACATGAAAAGGGGAAGTAAAAAGGGCTTCCCCAACCTTTCTGCATGAAATGACTCCCCCGTCTATATAGCCCACCTGTTCGTCGTTTCCGGAATATAATTATCGAATGCATCGTTCCAAATAGCGATAACTCAAGGTGATGACGATAGAAAGTGTAGGGATGGGGGAGAGAAAATAAATGAAAACATCGGAATATTTGATTTTAAAACTTTAAAACGAGAAAGCGGAAAATTGAAATAAAACTGATTCGATTAAAAAAAAAAAACATTTTTTTTTTTTTACTGATAAAAATTGGCTCTCAAAAAAACATTGAATAACGTTTTTTCGAATGAAAAAATTGTTTAATAACATGTTAATCGGTCCCGATTCATAATTATCATTGATTATCATGCTCTTATCGTTGATTCAAAATAGCGATAACTCAAGGTGGTGGCAATAGCGAGTGGAAAAAATAATTGAAAACATTTGACAAATTTAAAATTATAAAACGCAAAAGTGTAAGAATGAAAATAAAACGAATTCAATTAAAAGAAAAACATATTTTACTGATAAAAATGTGTCTATAATAAAACATTGAATAATCTTTTTCGAATGAAAACTAAATAGTTGTTTAATAACATGTTAATCAGCCCTGATTCATTATTATCATTGATTATCATGTTCTTCATTATAATCAGCCAGATTCGTTTGTAAAAAAAAATCCTTTATCCGAATTGGATCCATGTTTTCTCCTATAATCTACTTTTTTCTAAAGATGCCTCTTTTATATATGCTTAATTTAAACATTTTTATGGTCATAAATTTATAAAGTTGATATTTTAATTGTTTAATTCCTTCTGAGAGAGTAAAGAGATAAAAAATTATGAAATATGAACAATTAAAACGAGGATGGAGATTTGGAAGTTTCTCCCTTTTTGATTGTTAAAAAAACTATAAAAAGTTTAGTGTTTTTTCTCCCTTTAATTTTTCACTTATTTTCATCCTATTCCAGCCATTATCACAAAGTTTGGAAATTTCGTAAAACAATTATTATATATTTCTCTTTCTAATATATAACTTATTACGTGTAGCATTCATTTATTATATACATCATATACACATATTTATTATATGTATTACATATGAGAGTCCTTATGTGATAGGGAAAAACTGAGATATTTGGAATCAGAACGTCATTTTATATGGATAGGGGCTCTATTTATTTAGTTGTTGTTTTTTTTCTGCGGAGCAGTGTAATCAATGTTTTAAAATGAAAGAAAATTAAAGAAAAACATGGAATAAAAACTTTTCTTTCTAAACATAGTAGATCGTTAGGAATAGATACTAATATATCTGCTTTTTTTAATTGCCAAATCAGTCAAATTCTATTGAAATTATTCTCAAATACTATATGTATACTTAATATATGACTGATTTAAACATTTAGAAGTTAAACACTTAACGATCACTTCAAAAACAATTAAAGAATATTCGTTTAACTTATTTACACTTACAAATAATAGGCATATCACTTGAATTTAGTACAAGCTTACAATATGTTATGTATTATAAATAAATTTTGCTCCCTGATTTAAACTTTAAAATCAGTTTTTCAAATTTATTTTCAGCAAAAGGAAATAATAAATACGGTCATTTGTCATTTTGAACTTACCCTGAAATTCCCACCAATGTTTATTATTATTATTATCATAATTGTTACAATAGTTATTATAATTATTATTATTGTTATAATGATATATGAAGCAAAAATTGCGTAATTCGTAGAGTAATAACACAGTTTAATAATTTATGCAATACATTCTTTTTTTTCATATCGATAGACTAATTTATTATTTTTAAGTTATTATTCATGATCGACATGACAAAATAATTTCTCTTACAACCCGTTTTTGCGATTCGGATACGAGTTACCATGTGAAAATCTCCAAATGGCATTAATGGCTTTTTCCAAATGGCATTAAATGAGGAGAAAGTCCCTTGACACTAATTGAATTGGTGGAAGAAATGGCTGATATTTTAATGAACATACGTGATCGTTTATGTATAGATCCGGCTGAAAATAAAACTAATGTCTGATGCTTTACTACTAAAAATGTAATAACAATACACTATGCAAAACATTACTTTCAATAGTGAAACGAGTATTACAGTAAGATTAAATGAAAAATATTTAAAAATTATTTTTTCCATTTAGTGATCAGAAAAATGTCATTAAAATTAACCCATGTATGTTTTTTTCCCCGTTTTAAATATTTAAATAATTATTTTCCATATCGTGCTCGTCTCATAATTATTTATACAAGTTGCGATATTTTGTGAAGCCCATTCATAAAATTAAATTTTTAATTTTAAAATTTTAACTCTGTGTATTTGTATTTTATCCTTAATTTATATTTAAATTATTGCTTATTTATTATTCAGTATGATTATATTAATTTTTTAAGAATAATTTGGAGAAAAATCAAAAAATTAAAATGTGCATAAATTAAACTATTAACACTCGCAAAGTAGCTCAATATGTTTAATTTTAATTTTAAAAAAATATTATACAAACAAAACTGCTTTGAAAACAAGAATTTTAATCCATAGAATTTAAATTCGGTAATAACACCTGAATTCTCAATTTTTGCAGATTTCGATGAACCTAAACAATGCGACGTTGAAGTGTCTTTTTGCAAATATACAAAAATTAAATCGCAAGTGCTGTTCTTCATATTGCCATTTAGTATCATTTTCGTAATTAGTATAAGGCACTGGCTAAAAATAGGCAAAAGTTAATCTAACAGTTGCGAATTACTGTTACAACCTCACATACATTTATAAAAACAGCATTTAAGATTTTAATGCTGTAATACGTTTCCTAATTCTCAATTTTTGTAGATTTCTATAATTCAAAGTAGCTTTTCAAATACTAAAATACAAAATCACAAGAGCTTTTCATGTACACCAATCTGAGGCTTTATTTCATATAAGCATTTTGTACCATTTTTATAATTAGCATAGAAGGCTCTTGCTTAAAATATTCAAAAGTTAACCTAACAGTCGCGAATAACTGTCACAACCTCACAATTATTAAAATTCGCTAGAAAGTGTAACTTCAAGTGACAAAAACAGTTAATGGAGTACAATCTTGATATACTCCTTTTAAAATCGTAATTTTAAATTTTATATTTCAGGCCCATAAAAATTTATAATTATTGATTTTAATGATTTATATTTAGGGAGAAAATTCTAGCCAAATTAGTGACTTTTAAAAAATGTTTAATAGTTTTTAAAATATTTAAGGTATTGCTCCATTCTAAGTCCCAAATAATTCTTTACGGTAAGATGACATTTGCTGTTTATGGCTTTGCCTCGACTGTAAGGCACTTGAACTTTGGTTTTGCTATTTTGCTTGGTGAAAGAGCTTCAAAAAACACTGTTAAGGCAACAACTCATTGAAGGGAGAAGCCATCCGCACGAGTTAACATATACGAGAAATCTGATTTTCCAGTTGTCTAAACTTTGTGATAGCTTTCTTAATTAACCCCTACTGCGCAGATTATGTTACTTAAAGCGGATTACTAAACTAATCCGTGTGAGAACTTTCACTTTTCTAGGAATATTTGGCTAAGAGCATTTTTTGCCAATTTTTAGGCCCTCAATATTTTTGCCTTGATTATTATTACAAAAATGTATTGTTAACTTACACGTTCGCTATCCTTCTCGTTGCCTCTTCAGCAATCAATGCCATTCGAGAATAATTTTTAGCAGCGCTTTTTAATCTGGATATAGCTGAAGCATACCATTCAGATGTTCCAGGCTTCTGAATAGCTCCTAAAAAATAAATCATACTTAATTCAGATACTTTATAGTAATTAAAAACAGCGCTTCAATTGTTTTATTTAAATATATATTTTTTAATTTTGCATATCGTTTGCTCTTAAATACATAAACCATATTCATAAGCGTTCGAGATACTCTCAAGTTGTTGTTTTTTTCGAATCATTCAAATGATATAACATTTCGTGAATACCAGTGACGTCGATTCAAGTTTAAAAACTAGAATACTATATTTTTTTTATATGTAAACCTCTTTTTATGGTATTTAAAGCAATTACTTTATACTTAATTTATTCGCTTATTAAACTTTGATTAAATTATTTTAATTTTAAAGTAATTTTATAATAAAAATCTAGCGTTTTGAAAAGAAAGTTTTAAATCGAATCATTTGTAGTTCGTTTACCTTTGGAGTTAAATACACAATTAATACTATACAAATTTTATTTCTACGTACATAAATTTATATATTTCGTTTTAGTTTTGGGGAAATTTCTGTATCGTGATTCGTCACACCGACTATATTCGCTTAGGCCCCAAATGAATTTTAAACTTGCAATTAAAAATAAAACCTGTGCTGCTTGCTGACAAGGCAGGGATAGTGCAAGCCCATCAGTACCTAAAACATTCTTACGTAATATATTAATTGCCCCTAATTGTTTGGATAATTAATTTGCAAATTTCCATACTCCGTTCTTTTGCTTCTTTCAGTATCAGATCGCATTATGCTTCTTCCAGTATCAGATCGCATTATGCTTCTTCCAGTATCAGATCGCATTATGCTTCTTTCAGTATCAGATCGCATTATGCTTCTTTCAGTATCAGATCGCATTATGCTTCTTCCAGTATCAGATCGCATTATGCTTCTTTCAGTATCAGANTTATACTTAATTAATTTATTCGCCAATTAAACTTTCATTAAATTATTTTAATTTAAAAGTAATTTTATAATAAAAATCTAGCGTTTTGAAAAGGAAGTTTTAAATCGAATCATTCGTAGTTCGTTTACCTTTGGAGATAAATACACAATTAATACTATACAAATTTTATTTCTACATACATAAATTTATATATTTCGTTTTAGTTTTGGAAAATTTCTGTATCGTGATCCGTCGCACCGACTATATTCGCCTAGGCCCCAAATTAATTTTAAACTTGCAATTAAAAAAAACCTGTGCTGTTTGCTGACAAAGCAGGGATAGGGCAAGCCCATCAGTACCTAAAACATCCTTACGTAATATATTAGTAACAGATTGTATTATGCTTCTTTCAGTAACAGATTGCATTATGCTTCTTTCAGTATCAGATTGCATTATGCTTCTTTCAGTATCATATCGCATTATGCTTCTTTCAGTATCAGATCGCATTATGCTTCTTTCAGTATCAGATCGCATTTCGCTTCTTTCAGTATCAGACCGCATGCCTATCTTTTTTTCTTCTTTTTTTTTGTGATTTGACTTAACATACTGACTCCTTCACTCCTTCAAAATTTTATAAGTTTTAAATGTAACTATTAACCGCTACAATTAATCCTAAGCTAAAGTTAAAATTAAGCGTATTTTTGCCCTTAAATTTAACTAAAAACTTTAAGATAAATTTGTCATTAAAAAAAGCTGGCGATCGTAATACTAAAAGCATGCATAAGATTTCATGGATGTTACTGATTTATTAAACTGTTCAGGACATACAGCGGAAAATTTCAAATATAGTTTGGGTGACAATGTTGTCTTGCATACGGGTGTAACCCGACTCAATTAAACTATTCTTCAGTATAGATTACAAACTGCCTAATTGAATGGAAGACACCTTGTATATTAAAATTATATAAGCATAGAAAAAGTAAATGACGTTTACAGGTCGGAAATGTAAAAATTGACTCCCTGTGATCATAAAAAGCATTATTTTTACATAGAAAATAAAAGGAAAAAAGTTTTTAAATCTGGTTGGTAAACAGATTTGGGTTCGGAATAAGGTATTGATTTACTTTATTCTATCCATACCATAGACTAAAGTACTCGTAGTCTGTTTTTTTTTTTTTAATTGATTAAACTTTTATTCTATTTATTTAAAAGAAGAGACTAAATGAATTTTTCTATCACATTGAAACTATTAGTGCGAATGCAAAAATAGTGTTTTAAATGTTATTCAGTAACACGAAAGCTCGTATTAGTTCATCTGTTATTTAAAACACAGTTCATTTTTACCACTTATATTTAAAGGGACCAAACATCCTAAATTCTTGAGAACAGTTCTCGAATTTTATTGATTGTCCTCGGCTTTCAAATTATTTGAGGAAAAAGTTTTAACATGTGCCCGCAAATGTCCACGAATTTCACTGAAAGCATGAAATTTTTTTTCTTCTTTTATGTGTAGTGAAATATCAACAAAAAAAATCAGGAACGCGTATGTCTTTTATTTCAACAAGGTAGTTTTGTATTACAAAGAATAAAAACAAAAAAGCACCATGCTAAAACTAACAGACGAAAACGTCAGACTCATCTTAAAATAATTTCAGACAAAAAGAAAACAAATTTCAATAATCATGTACTCATAAATTTTACTTTTCTAATGCAAAATATATGATATTTGAAAACTTCTTAGTAATGAAATCAAATTCGATGAAGATGGCTCTGCACCTGATGTTAGTCATTAATTTACAAAAATCTTGGATGTACTTATAAATTAATATTTTCTCTAAAAATATGGATGTTTTCATATCGTTAAATTTTTTGAAGATGCTCCGCTGATTTGTACTGGCTTATAAATATGATCATGACTTATAAATCTGGTCACTTTACTTAGATTAGACATTTTCCTGTCATTTTGATTTATTTTTCACTAACTACAACTTCTTTATCCTAAATAACAAACAAAAAAATAATTATTATGCCACTCCAAACTTTTGTTTTTCGCCAATTTTGTTTTGCCTTTTGATAATATTTTTCAAACTATTATTGGCGATGAAATAATTTGAAGAATCGCATTTTGTGAAAAATAACTATAAACTTATATTTCATACGGAATTTTATTTCCGGAAATGGGGAACGTGCTTAAACTTAGAAGGGATATCCCCATCTGACTAGTTTAGACAAAAAAAAATTTTAAAAAAAAGCATTTTACAAACAAAACGAAAACAATCAAATTTTGAGCTTTACAAAATTATTTAAAATGGACAATGTTTCGATCACACTTCCAATGTAGCTGAATATTGTAGAATAACCGCATTTTAAATAAAAACAATTTTTTGTAGTGAACGTTACAAAAATTTCACTTACTTTTTTTTAATCAATAAAAATTATGATTATTATTATTTTGCATAAAAGAAAATTCATAGATTTACCCTCACTGAAACATTCGTGGGCGTTTAAGCTTTCTGGGGATTCCAATAGATGCAGAACATGTAAGTTATTTGAATAGAAACAGACGTAATCAGAGGTGATTTTCGAAAAATTATGTTAAATAAACGTGCTCGAAAACGTAAGTAAATTTAAATATCATAGAATTTAGTTATTTTGAAAATAATATTTTTCTTTTGACATAATAGTTCTGCGATTCGTATGAAATTTATATTTACTTAAAATTCAAAAATAATACAGTCAAAAACATGCTGGTCCACGCATGCGTACCTTGGTACGTATAGCGAAATTTAGAAGTCAAATGAATAATAGTCAAATGAAATCTCATAATATTATGAGTATTTAATTTTATATTTATTTAGTAATATTTTATGCGTATTTCAATTAACTATTTTATATTAAGGTACATACATACATTTAATAACTTCAACTTTTGTGTTTTTTTCCACAATTTTGAAATATTTGCCCCAAGAAATAAGTATTTATTTATAATTAATGTTAGATTCTTTTGAATAATAATTTATTTTGCATGGTTTGCATAATTAAAACAGCTTTGAAACTGAGATTTAGTGCAGTATTGCATTGTGCTTAGATAAAACTTTTTTTTAAATTTATTTTGTTTTCTAAATAATTATTAAAGCCATTCATCATTTTATTTAAAAAATATAACAATATGCATGTTTGTTCCTATTTTAGGTGCAATTTAACATTTGAAATATTTATATTCTTTTACTTAGTTAAAACCGGAGTTCCACGTATGAGTACCTAAAATTATTAGTCCCTGGCAGTACAATTCATATTTTGTTTATCTTCATATAACTTATGTAGGTAACTGTTAAATATTTTTTTTGCTGTATTCCTTTATACTTATGCAGTGAAGAGATTAATGAAATTGCGCTTACCACTTCTGTAAATGCTTGGTTCTGTACTTTCCATTCTTACTCGTACCACTTCTGAAGCTTGTTCTATATATTTTTTCATCTCATCAGCTGATATTCTAGGCATACGAACCTTAGGTCCTTCAGGTATAGGATCGATTTCTTTTGCAGGTTTCAAATGTTGAGTGAATCGTCCAAGTTGTCTTTTGTGTAATCTCAGTCCTCGAGTAACTCTCGATACAATTCTTTGAGTTTTTCGTCCAATTATTGGAACTTCGACCATTTCTGTGGAGGACATCAATACTTGAAGCCATAACTCAAGCAGAACAGTTAAAAGAATAATTCGAAACCTGTAAGGAACAAAGCAATTGCAGATAAAAATTGCGTTGAAATATTTATTTAGCTACGACATATTTTTCATACTTTTTTCATTATTTTGTTTTAATTTAAGTCAAAATACGTAGCAAATATTATAATTAGTTTCAATAAATTGTGGTTATGAAATATTGCATTAAACATCGATGTCTTTTTCTGCGTTAAATGTAGAAAATTTCAGACACGGCTTATTCCAAAACAGTAGTTTTTGGAATTCCTACTTATTTACAGTTAGCTAGATCTAATAGAAACAGTATTTCATAAATAAAATTTCTTTAATTTATAATATCAATTATTGATAAATTTTTGAATATGAATGAAAAAAAAGTTTCAAACTACTATTTTGGATTTTATATTTTAGTGCAAATATAATTCCGATAATTTAACAGATTTTTTCAGTAACTGTTAGATTGATTTTTAATAATTAACAAATACCAAAATATTTTTTTTCTTGTAATTATAACGTCAGAAAAAAATATTTAAATGGGACATCGGTGTTCCATTTGCGTCAAAGGGTTAAACTTTATTAAAGTTGCATTAAATTTACGCCGCATAAAGGTTCTCATAGTACCGATCAAAATTAACTAGATTTCTTTTACTGATTGTGTACAATCCATGCAGTTTCAAAGATAAGGCCTAATGAAAGCATTCCATTTACTTAATAAATACAAATGAGATATAGTTATTTAATAATCATCCTTAATTTGTCTGAGAAACTAATTTATCACGCGCGAGCACTTTTTTCCCCGGCCCTCAAGGAACTAGAAATTACTTCGAAGCCATTTGAGATTGTAGATAGGCGCCAGACTGAAAGTGCAAAGATCGTTTTACAAAATATATTAACAACAGAATCTGGCAACTAGTTATCATCCATCGACAAATTCGCTCTGTCACGATGAATCAGTCTAAACTTTGCTTTAAGATTCATTGCCTTACTAAATAATTTAAGCTCATTCGCATTCTGCCCCTTAAATGAATGATAAGAATGCAGTTTATTGCACTCTTAAAATATGTTTTGTCTTGTATGTTGAATAGTAAGCTTTTGAAGCTAACTCTCGGAGAGAAATTAAGTGATTTTTAATTAGAAATTAGAATGCAGTTTATTTCACTTTTTAAATATGTTACATGGTTTGTACGATATGCAATAAACTTTGTAAGCTAACTCTCTGAGAGAAATTAAACGATTTTTGATAAGAAATTATAATACAGTTTATAGCACTCTTCAAATATGTTATATGGTTTTGTATGTCATATAGTTAACTTTTAAAGCGAACTCTTGGAGAGAAATTAAACAATTAATAATTAAAAGGAGGATAAATATTTCGGATCAATATCACGGTAAACTATTAATTTTCTTTGGTATTTTTTAGCACAAGACAAACGAAATAAATTGTGCGTTAATGCGAGTACTTTTTTTATTTTTTTAATAATAAAAATATTGAATATACAAAAAAAATATTGAATATGCAAAGAAAAATATTAAAGGAATCAAAGCTGGATCTCGCTTTTGTTGTGAAAATAGTTTTCTATTAACCTCAGACTTTGATAGATTTTAATTATGTACATACAATTATTGCAGAGCAAGAAAATCCACAGGTTAAAAACAATTTTTTCTCCTTTTTCTGTTTAGAGTACTTCGAGGTTGCATGGATTTTAATTTGTTTACGATAATTATTTTTCAATTTTAATTTTCGTGGAATTGCTAAACAATTGTTTTTGTTAAAATAAAACAAGGAATTTGATTCTCTCCACATAATAAAACATTGTTATGTATCATTATATCAGGCACCAATTTTCAGTTTTGAGATATTATAATTTAAAAATGATAAACGAAAAAGGAAATAATAGCAACGGAGAGCCGTTATAAGAGCAAAAGCATTTTATTACAAACAAAATATAAGCGTCTAAAGTTAAAAAATAAATTGGGGACCTCATAAATCATTTTGAAGTAAAATATTGCTGTCAACAAATAACAATGTAAATAAAGTGGTGAAAAACAAGTAGGAATAATCTATCAAATATCAAAAATCTCCAAGAAGGCAAATTTCTCCCAATACTCGATCCAGGAATTCCCTTGTCTTCTGGATTGGGTTCAAAATTACAAGGCTACTAAGTTGAATATTAGTAGTCGTAAACCCGTAAAATTGGGTCCGTTGTTCAACAACGGTTATAAAATAAAGAATAAGATTACTGAATTAAACGTTATAGATAAACTGGACTCTAAAGTCATATATGCTAACAGTGCTACGAGCTTCTGAGTTATTTTTCATTATAATGTAAATCAGCTGTTCAGCATTGTTCATGAAATAAAGATTTGTACTGGATATAAATTCTCAAAAAGATAGGGTATTTTATTATTTTTCAAAATGCAACCATGTACTCGAAAGCAATCCAATTGCCAAATAGCTGTCCATTCTTTGCAACAATGTAGACACAACGATGGATTTTTAAAAAATCACTTTTGATCTGTTAATTCCCATTTACTTAAATGATATCCATTAAAAAAATAGGACAAACATTAGCTTTAAATTCCTAGAACTTTCCGATCTAAAAAAAATTTTCCGAAAGAAATTGAAGGTATATGACCGCCCTTGCAAGGCAGTAAATGGCTGGTAAGATTTTCTGACCTTGGTTTGACGGAGGCGGCAACGAAGTGGCGTGGGCTTAAAATGCTGCGGGGCTTGTCTATCCTCAATCAGGATGTGAATAAATGTGGCCTTTGAACTTGCACTAGCCATCATTAATGAGCACAAAAAGAAATTGTAATATTGTAATCGTGATAACGTATTCAATTTTTATTTCTTGTGGCTAAAATGAATGCATGTAGAGTAAGATTATTTCTTTCAACATTAGGTGAGACTTCTGTACTTAAAAACAGTTTACTTGAAGTCGTTAGTTAAGGGAAAAAGCCACTCTGAGATTTTGAAGAAAAAAAAACTTAGTGGGTGTTTTTGCACTCTAAAATGATGCACCTAAAGTTTTATGACAAGGAAAAATGTCTAAGAAGTTCGAATTTCTGAGCAGCTCTGAACGGTTTGTCTAACGAACTTCAAAGGCTTATTTTTGGAAGCTGCATTTTTCAAGTTGGCTGAACTCATAACAGGAACAATTTTTTTCAATTTTCAGCTCAATTCAGCTCAATTCGCTTCAATTTTCAATTTTCAGCTTTCTTCAATTTTCAGCTCAAGACTTCAGATATAAAATGTATATTTAAAATTTTATTCTTTTCTGAAGTTAGCAAAAGTGAATTCTTTTTTATTTTTCCTTTTTTTGCATGTTTTTTAATATAAAAATATTCCAGAAATTTTTTCAGGACAATTTTCAATTAAAATTAAACGCGATATTCTCAAAAAAATTATATTAAGAAATATCTGCGTTACTGCCTGTAGTTATTCGCTTATATAATCAGACAAACTTTTTTTTTTCTTTGTTAAGGCAAGCATTGACTTTTCAAATGCACAATGCACAAATAAGAACGAAACACCCTAAATCACTTTTGATCTAAGGATTGGATCTTCTCGTACTAGAACTCAACCTTAAAGGTTGGAGGGTGTGACTAGTTAGTACACACAATATTTATTTGTTGATTACAATATTTATTTATCACACAAAAGCGTACTTTCTCAAAATAAACATTACTTTTTTTTCCGATGGATTATGAATTCTGACTTCCAAAATGTTGGGAATAGCCGCAATCTGGGAAAAAGGTCTTAATTGTTTGGTCAGGAGAGCGAATAAAAGTTTGGACCCCTAAATGTTAATTTTACTTTCACCATATATTGAGAACTTATTATGCGAATTGATAAAATTTTGCTCGCAATTAAAATTCAATTATCCAAGTATAAAACCACACAAAAAATAAATTTTAATAACATTTTATTATTTTTTTATAATTTTATTTAATAATCGTCGGAAAATTTTGAATTGTAAGGTATAGAAATTTTTACATAATTTTGAGAAATGTAATTTTACATGGCAAAATAAAAAATTTTTACGAAATTGAACGAATAGTTCCTGAGAAATCAAGTTTTAAATAGCTGATTTTTTTAGAATTCGAGAATAAAGGGTTGAGAACGTAGGTTTAGGAATGCAACTTGGGATCGATACTTTGGGAACGAAAATTTTATCACTTCATCATAAGTTTATCAAGGTGTTTCGTTTTATTTTATTTTGCAATAAAATACATTTTTTATTTATAAATTGTATACTATTTATATTCTTTCTCAGTGAGTCAAATCTGCTGATGCAAATTCGTTCTCGGTTGTACTTAACGGTTGTTCGTGTAAAAAGAGAGGTTATTGTTGCAGTTAAAAAAAAAACCTTAAGTATTCCCTTTAAACAATAGAGCAATTCAAAAATGAATAGTTCCTCTATATATTCATATTGTGTACAATTAGTTTTTATTTAAAACTCATTTAAAATATTCAAAGTAGCTTTTTTTAATAGTATTAAATAGGGTAGTTTGAATTAGAAACTTATTTTAATGAATTAGCCTATACTATTATTCTAACCATTAAAACTAGTCTATAAAATACAACTGTATACGGCTGTTTCAATAGTAAAGTAACTAACTAATTTAGGGGTAATTAGCTATGAAAATTGTTTCAGAGATCTTTTAGTTTCAATATTACTATAAATAAAAAAAAAATGTGATTTTTGGTCAAAATAACAGCTCTCCTAAATTAGTTTAAAAGCAAAGTAATTTTGAAGTATTTCATCATTTTCTGATCGGTTACACGAATCTTAACGTGCAATTGAAAAATTGAATGAAAAACGACAATTAAGAAAAAAGTTTCGTGTTTGAAATTAGGATTTCCAAACTATATATCCGTTAAGGAAGAAAGTTTCGCACGAAGCCACAAAGATTTGGAAGATATTATTAAGGAAAAGTAAAATTAATATACAACCTGTGTTTAAGACATGAAAAAAATTTTCACCCAAAGATTGACTTAAAGGGTACAAGGCAAGAAAAAAA